CTCAAGCTAAAATGCCCAGAAAGAGGAAAACACTTTTAGCTTAATAACGGCTACGTGGAACTCTAATAAGTCTTAAATCAATAGACTGAGCAGAGCAGCAAGGCAGGAGAAGAAAAATAAAGTGAACAATTGCTCATTCTGCTAAATTCAAGTTACTTTTCTAGGGAGCCTGGCACAACCCGAAAACATCTTTTAAGTTGCAGAGTCAATATAAAAAGGAGGTGTGCTGCTACTGTTTATACCTAGTTAACATAGCCAGCCCACCCACTTCCAGTTTAAAGGGGAACTGATCGTGCACGTTTACCTCTTCCGATTCTAAAAGCCTTGGTATATATGGGCAGGGACTGTCTCTGAGGATGGGTGTGGTGACAGCAGAGGATAAGGTGTGACAATGAGACCCTGGAAGATGGTGAGGAAACAAAAACGGTGGCCTGGCAGACAGAGCACACTTTCCACGTGTCTGAGAAGACCCCCTCCTGCCCACACAGTGCTTTGGACACCAACAGGAAACAGATTCACTGCCCCTAGCACCACAACCAGCTAGGCACCAAGAAGCAGATAGCTATGCTCAAGGGAACTCAGCGAAAACCAAATCGAATATGGTCCCCCGAGCCCTTCCAACCACGTGCCTCCCACAGTAACAACACAGGCCGTGGGACCAGGCCAGACACTAGACAGCTTCTTTGGAGCAAGGCTTAGATGGACACAAACTTCAGGATCACTGAAGAAATCTCCACCATGCTTTGAGTCTCCAGGTGATGGCCTTGGCTAGAACACAGAGTGATTCCAACAATGGTTTTCACTCCCTTCTGTAATACCAAAGGTAGTCCTTCATCATCAGAGACATAAGGAAAACATCCAACAGAAAGAGACCAGATTATGCGAGGGGAAACAAAGATGGATGCAGGAAGTCTACCTTACACTGGGAGGGAGTAAAAGCCAGATCCTGTGAGGATGGAACCAAGGACAGCATGGAACATTTGGAGAGCAAAGCCACGTTTAAAAGTCAAGTGCTCAATAAAATGATTTTTAAAATCCAGAGATATAACAAACAGAGATAAAGACACATAAACTCTAAAGTTAGGAGATTGCTGAGACAAAGAGTACCCAGGGGTTCTAGAAAGTCGAGCCAAGAAAACAGCAACAAGAAGGGCAGTGAACAGTGCAGAATGTGTCCCAGGAAGCAGGTTTAGACGCCAGACTTCAGATCACACTTTCTTTCAGACACACTAAATAAAAAGGCCTACTCAGTGCCAAGGATAAAAGGAATACCCTGGAATCTCTAGAGAGATACCATAGCTCACTGATTGGGCAACTAAAGTAAGAGCGGCAGTGGGATCCCAACAGCCAGCAGGACTCTAAAAGCATGAAGAAATGCCTTCAAAATCAGGAAGGCCAAGGTGTTCCTGGTGCATGCCATCAGCCAGGAGGCTGATGCAGGAGGGAAGAACACGAGAAAATGGAAAGATCTACAGTAATGGCTGTGTACCAGACCTAAGGTGAAGTTCAGTTTACGTTGCCACAGCAGCTAAAGGAGTGGAGTGTCCAGGAACAGGAAATTGGAAATTTTCCTAATCAGCCCTGTGGACACCGTGCAAATGAAGCTCAGAATCCTGAGAAGAGATAAGGCTGGGTACACAGAAGGTTAGAAACACAAACAGAAAGAAAAGCAGCTATTAACTCGGAGGAAAATTAAAGGTCTATGACGAAGAAAAAGTAGTTAGTACTAGGCAGGAACTGCACAGTGACAAAGATGTAAACACTGAGTACTGGCTTAACCCTGAGCTGTGCCGAGAGGATGCCAGGTGGGCTGACAGGGAATAGGAAAACCAAACCATCATAACGAATTTTAAAAAGGAATTAAAAGTCCCCTTCTCTGGAGACACAGAACTAGAATTTGAAAACAAGTGGACCAAGTAACTTGTCATAAATAAACATCATGACACTATTTTAATTTGTGAACTATTTTAATGTGTGCCATGAAATAAAGTATAAATGTAAAAACGAAGCTAAAAATGAATCAAACTACTGCAATGGAAATTAAATTCAGTTTATTTAAATATAGCCAAAGATGATTATAGCTAATCTAGTGAGAAAATAATATGTAGAAAGGGCTATTACTCAGAAAAAAAATCACCTGAATGAGCATGTAAGAGGAATTTAATGAGTTTTTCTATGACATACACACAATTCACTATGCAATTTAAGCTCACAATTATTAATAATACCCATTAATTTATAAATTGAGATAACTATGTAGAAATAGATTGCAAAAAATAATCTTAAGTAAAAGCAAGTCAGATTTGCAAAAGCTTATGGTAAACAAAATTATGATTGATTTCAAATGATTAAGCAAATGTTTGCCTAGAATAAAGATTCACAATTGTTTGATTTCTTGGATTTTTATTTCGTAATTCATTGGCTTGAAAATATTTCAAAGTGACTTTGCATTGAAGGTTGTAGCTGGAGTTTTTCCGTGTTGGGACAAATCTCTCCCACTTACATCCCTCAAGTAAACACACAGGCTTATGTTATTTTTAAACTGTGGCCATGGCAGGTTTCTTGCTAGCTAGTTTTATATCTTAAATTAGCCCATAACTATTAATCTATATGTCCCCATGTATTCCGTGGCTTTACCTGTGTGCCATTACATGCTGCTCCCTGGATGGCCGGCTGGCGTCTCCTGACTCAACCTTCCTCTTCCCAGAATTCTCCTTGTCTGCTTATCCTGCCTAGACTTCCTGCCTGACTACTGACCAATCAACATTTTATTAAACCAGTGTACAAAAGCATTATCCCATAGCAGGTTTATCTAAAGAGTTTCTATTTTAAGTTGTTTTTTAATTTTTAAACTAGTACAGTATGCTCTACTTTTTAAAATCTAGCCAATATATTTCAGTCCTGATTTATGAGTACACATGGGTCTGGGAAGTGTCCTTCTGGAATGGCTCCTGAGCAATTATTGTCTTATGAAAGCAAGGGAAACATTGACTGTCCCTCACCTCAGGAGCACTAGGCTGTGGCCTGCTGGGGTATGGTGGCAATCAGGAAAAACATTAATACCACTAATTTTATTTTTCTTTATTTTTTGTTTTATTTTGAGATTATAATTACATCATTTCTCTCTTCCCTTTCCTCCCTCCATATACCCCTCCTGTTCTCTTTCAAATTCATGGTCTCTTTTTTCATTAAGTACTGTCACACACACACAAATACACACACACACACACACACACACATATAAACACACACATATAACACACACAAAACCTGCTCAGTCTGGGTAACATTACTTGTATATTGTAACATTACAGAAAATTACAGCCAATCAAAATGCAGTTATGGAGCCCAGTTGTAGATAAAGCTACAACATAACTCCTTCACCTAAGGTCAGAGGTCATTGTAGAAGAGGGGACAGACAGATTTGTGAAAGCCAGAGAATCAGGGGCTTTACTGTGAGACTGTGTTTCCTAAGAATGCCAGAAGCTATACCCATAAAGTCTCACTAACATGACTGAACAAAGACAACAATAACAGGCATCCAAAGCAAACATCGAAAGCCCACCGAGGCCTCAACCCTACACAGAGGACTGCAGGCATCTCAGGAAGTCTCAGAGAGGGAGAAGCTGTCTTCCCAGGGAACAATCTACACAGAGGACTGCAGGCATCTAAGGAAGTCTCGGAGAGGGAGAAGCTGTCTTCCCAGGGAACAACCTACACAAAGGACTGCAGGCATCTAAGGAAGTCTCAGAGAGACTTTTGTGTTAAATGTGCCCTTTATCATCCACTTCTGTAGAACTTGCTGTGTTCTCCGGTGTCTTCACACAGGGATGCACAGGTAAGCCTCCAGATCCTAGCAATGTGTTCTCAAATACTCTTCTACTGTAGGGATCTCAGAGAAACTGTGTAGAGACTACAAATCTACAGGAACAGCGCCTCCCCCTTGTAGCTGGTGACCCATAAATACTTCAAATGAGAAGCAAAAGAGCTCAGGGAAAAAGAGAAGAAAGGTAACATGTCAATCTAAACTAAAGAGCAGTTCACCATGGAGAGATAGGGAAACGTAGGGGTAAAAATAAAGCTACTAATTTAGGGGGAAATTTTTTAATTTTTATTGTCTTTTTTTTTACTTATTCATTTATTTTTTGAAGACAGAGTCTCACTACATAGGCCTGACTTGCCTCAGATTGAAAGAAATCCACCTGCCTCTGCCTCCCCAGTGTTGGGATTAAAGGTGTACACCACCAAGACCTATCTTAATCAATGAAATCTGATCTACTATTAGAGCTTTTCTGCTATAGATGAAAACAACAACAAAACCAAGGATAGGAAAGTATACAAATGGCTGTATTTTTGTAGCCCTATAAGTCTGTTACCTGTAAGACAGACTGTGACAAAATGATCCAAAACAATGTGCTTAATGTGTTAATTATCAAAGCTACTCTTCATGAGCTAGAAAGAAAAAACTGAGGAAGCATTAACTGAGGAATTACACAGGGAGCATCCTAAGAGCACTGCATTCTCTCAGACGAGCAAACCAGTCATTTAGAACAGCATTGCCTCTATCCGATATTGTGTGAACACTATTCTCTCACGGATGTGGAAAGTAATTAAAATTTAACAAAAGCATTTTGTCTTTGTTTTCATTTTGCTTTTTGATAAAGGATGTCATGTGGCATATGCTAGCTTCAAACTTATTATGTAACTTAAGCTGGCCTTGAACTCTAGTTCCATCTGTCTCTACCTTACAAGGACTGGATTACAGGTGCGGATCCCTACATCCAGCTCAAAATTTAATAAATCTAAAAGGCCATTTCCTCTGTCACACAGGCCAAAAGTGTCAAGTGGCCAGTGCCTACTCCACTGTACAATTCAGAGAGAATGTTTCTATCCATGCCCAAAGTTCTACTGAACGTATGCCACTGTTCTGAAATAGGGTTCTACTCTGAACTGATATTCAGAAATTCTTCAGTTAAAAAGTTTAAGACATTTATACTTACTAACTGTCACTTTGTCCTTATCTCCCAGCATAATGTTGTTTGGCGTCAGATCTCTGTGGACAATCCTCTTCTCCTTGTGTAGGTACCGAAGAGCTAAGCACAACTTGAAATAAGAATGAAAGCAAATTGATTCCCCACTGTATACATAACCAATGGTACATCTCTAAGGCAGCTCAGAACTTTGCTGTGTAATGAAAATTTCAATGAAGGGTGTACCTGAATAAATATTCTCCATAGTCTTTCCTCAGTGAAATGCTGCTGTTTTTCCTTCAAAGAGTTAAAGTGCTCTCCAAGTGGGGCTCCTTCTATGAGCTCCATAACGATGTACAATCTGTCATCTACCCAAAGACACAAAAGGGCCACAGAAACTTAAAGTCAACACAGAACCCTGAAAGGCTTCACAAATGAGAAGTCATGGTTTCCAAAGAGCATGCAGAGAATAAGTGGTAGGATCCACTGAACTCTGGCAGAGCACAGAGCAGGATTGGGGCCATCACAGCCCAGCAGCAACTTCTTCTGGCTCCAGACTTTGCCCACTTAAGTTTACATTGGTAAGTGTAATCATGAGGAATGGCTGGAAGGTGCCAAAGACAACAAGCCAACCATCCTAAGTCACAGGTCCTGCCTCTTAGTACCTCAGATCAAATAAGACATTCAGAAAACTGCACTGTAAACTGCATTTCTTACAGTCGCATAGACTATGTCATAGAAGCTTACCCTAGGACCACACTGTGACATTCCAGCGACAGACACAATCACCCATGACAGAAACCATTGTTAGGCCTCTCTTGAGCAGGGAGACCTGGACTCTGATTCTGTTTTATGGTTTACAAAGCTTTTGTTAGCTAATGCTATTTGGTTTGTTGTTGTTGTTGTTGTTGTTTTGCATACCTTCATCTAAAGTCGATTTGAACTATTAACAATGGCTTGTGACGTGTGTCTTTTCTGACTGTCGGATGTACAAAAATACGCACACACACAACTTATCAGCAAAGGGCTGTGCCTCTTGTACTGCCACGTAGCTGACTTTCCCACTCTGCCGTGGAAAATGAATGCATACATCCTGCTCTTCCTGTTGGCTCTCATGGGGATGCACAGCATGGATAAACCCTGTCATTTAATGTCTTTCTGGCAGACATCTATAGTTCCAAGGTTTCACCGTGTCATGAAATACGTATTGTCTGCGCCGTGCTCAGCTACGGCTTTATTTTCGTCTCCTCACATCAGAGTCGTCACTGTAATTTATAACCTGATACATCATAGTTTACATATTTTAAGTTACCTCCAATTCATTTTAGAAGCTGTCTGGTTTTTAAAGTGTTTTGTTTTGCTTTTGTAATGACTTGTATTTATCCCCTCAGTATAAGTCAGAAGCTAATTCTGATCTCTTTAATTACCGGAAATTATCCCAACATTAAGAACTAGTCACTAAAGAGGCAGGAGTGACTCTAAGTCATCTAGAGAAGAGAAATGGGTAAAACCATAACAAATGCCCCAGCACGCAGAACATTTTTTGTTTTCTTTTAGGACAGGGTCTCTGTGTAGCCCTGGCTATCCTGGAACAATGTAGACCAGGCTGGCCTCAAGCTCACGCAGATCTGCCTGCCTCTCCCTCAGGAGTTCTGGGATTAAAGGTGTGCACCACCACCTCCCAGTTTGCAAAGGTTAGTATCAGCACTGGTGAAGCAGCAGGGACTGAGCCATCAATCTTCCTTCACGCGGAAATACTTCGGGATAATTTTATGCTACAGATCGTTAAGTTTCAATACTTACTTCACTTGTAAACAAGTGACTGAGCTTGGCTTTGTCTAAAGGTTTTGACTGTGTTCTCCATCCCATCAGCAGGAAACAAGCCACCCAGCTAGTGGGCTCCACCAGGACTCCGACGCCACCTGGTGGCACCTACTGAAAAAAATCTGGAAGGCAAAGTCCACTCCATTTCATTTGGGTGGAGACTGCCGCCAGCTGCTACACAAGCTGCCGTGAGCTAGACAAAAAGAACCATCAACGGTTGGTTCCTTTTCTTCTTGATCATATCCAGTTCATTTTTTTTGTACAATAATTTAATTATTTTGTTTTGTTTACACTGTGCCTCTCTACGGTGGGGATCAAAATACTTTTAACTATTTTCAGACCATCACTTATGAAATTATTTCACTGGCTGAGCAAGTGATGATTGTTAATAATGAAAGTGTAAAGAAAATAGCTGAATGAGTTATCGTATGACAATATAATATAAATAGCAAAGACATGTTTCCTTAATTAGAAACACAATTCATACTTACTTTCCAAAAATGTTTTATAATAACGTACAATGTTGGGATGATAAAGCTGTAAGAAAATAAATAACATACATTTATCAGATTGTTTCAAAACACACACTTTTTCCATGACCACTTAGATTTTGTAATCTGTAGTTATGTGTCAGACTGTCAGCTTGTCAGCTACCATTTAAGATTTTGATGACTTACATTTTGTTGTTTTTAAGTTAATGAAAATTTCAGTGTCCTCTATGCCTTTGTAAATGAGGCTAGAAACTGCTGCACTTCCTAACTTAGAGAATTTTAGAACTAAATGGTCCACTTAACATGTTCTGCCCCAATGCCAGGCCTCAGTTACACATGAAGGGAGAACCTGTCTAAACGGAGAAAAATAATGTAAAAATGCCTGCAACTATTTATTTCTGCAACTATTGGTTTCTAGGAAAAGTGTCTAATTTCATAAGAATTGCCATTATGTGTATAAATGTGTTGCACCTCTCTCTGTATATCCCTTTGAGCAGGGCCCAGCTAGCTGCTAACCATGAAACCCAACAGCTCACATCAATAGCAACAGAGCAGCTGGATGTGGCTTCTCAGGCAGAGGTGACATCTCTCAGCCTCGCCTACACCCAGGAGTGCGCCTGTCCCTCAGCGCTTAGCTGTGAGTGCAAAAGGAGTCTGCAGACTCCACGTGTGAGCCTTTAACCCTGGGACTGTCTCTCCCGCTCTCCTTCCAACTTGGGATGTAAAAGTGTCACCAGGAGAAGCATGAAACAGGGAATAACACCAACTTGCCTACTCTCTTCAGATTGTTATATGTAAAAGTGACCCACCACCAAGTGAGACCACCTCTCTAAGCCTGGTGGTCTGGAGCCTCTGTGATACTGTGGGTTCACTGTCATCTCTTAACAAACAGGATCTCCCATTCCAGCCTCCTTCTCTCATGACTTCCTCCTTTTAGGCTCAAGTGGCTTGTTTCCACAGTGAGGGACCAAGTGTACAATCTTGAGTGACCTCACAGTCTAAACAGGCATCCTCATTGGCCTCTTCTGGACACTTTTTCATAGGAAATGCACTTAAACAAATTTGTACCCTCATCAGCTCGCAAGTGACTCCAGCTTTTAAACCATATGGAACCAGGTCAACAAACAGAACAATGTTCTGGCCCTAGCTCATGAGCAAGGGTAGATCCAGCTTTGGGACCTAAGCAAAACATGGACTCAGATCAAAGTCACATTCTGATCTTGTGCTGTACAGACCAGGAGACTCTGTGGAAGGATGAGATAGCTTCTGAAAATCTAATCCATTGAAGCATGAAAGTCAGCAATGCTCTTAGTGATCGGCTGTAACTTAGTGATGTCAAACTTCACTGAATAAGGACCATGACTGTGCGGTTCTTCATGCCCCAGCCCTGACACCAGGCAAATATGACTGAAGAGAACAGAGCAGTGAGACTGACTGAGAGTTTCCCAGGACACACAAATAAGGAAGGCTGAAAGAAACCAGCATGTTCTTGGATCACAAAAAGAAATCCCACTTCTCGTCTGATAGGTGTTCTTTTTTCCTCAAATAATTCTTCATGATCACAGCTAACTGAACTATTATATCACACCAGCATATAGTGCTTGTGCTAACGAGAGTAACCCTGAGGATAGTGGTGTACACCTTTAATCCCAGCACTCAGGACAGGGAGCCAGAAGGAAGGGTCAAGGTTACCACCCTTGGCTGCACAGCAAGTTTCAGAGCAGCCTAGACTACACAAGGCTGGTCAAGAAAAGGAAAAGGAAACACAACTCACATTCTAGATTTAACAAGTCAGACTGGGGGGTGTCAGCAGTTTGGCTTTACTTGACTGACGTTGGGGGTCTTTCTCATTGCCTGTGTAGTAAGTAGCTTGGGAACCAAGCACTGAAGTTGGATGGGGGTTGGGGGTCTTTCTCATTGCCTGTGTAGTAAGTAGCTTGGGAACCAAGCACTGAGGCTGGAAACTCCTCCCATTCCCGTGTAGTAACTCGGTAGCTAAGCACTGAACGTGACCATGATGAAGACAGGAGGGCTTCTCATCCATGGTGTGTTCTGGCTTGTAAGCTCAATTGCTTTGTATCCAAGGCCCTGCGATAAACTCCTAAAAGAGTTTCCATGGCTCAATAACAAGCTTTAGGAAAAACACTGGTAAAAATATCACTGCACCAATGTCCAGCATTTCACACTGAACACACCAGATTATAAACAGCATGAATAAGAACAGCACAAGACCTCAACCTCGATGACATTTATGTCAGAGACATCTCAGAAATAGGACAAATATTTACCTGCTCCTTAATTATTGTTAATTCAGAAACAATGTTCCTCACACTGCTGTCTCGGTCTTTCTTATCCTTTCCAAATGCTGGGTTATGTAAATTGACCTCCTTCATTGCTAAAAGATTTTGACCACTACGTTTTCTAACCTAAAATAAGGAAACAACAAAAAAATTTAATTAAATACTCTGATGAGAACTGAGGGTTAAGACAAAGACAGATGAACTAGAATAACAAAATCACACAGTTAACCAAGCCATAACATGAGATTCTAGCTCAGCAGTTTTCAGCCGAACGGCCCTTTCACAGGGGTTGCTTTCAGATATCCTGCATATCAGATATTTACATTACGATTCAGTGAAGTGACAGTAGCAAAATTGCAGCTATTAAGTAGCAATGAGATAAAATTATGGTTAGGGGTTGTGGTGGTTTGAAAGAAAATGGCCCCCAAAGGGAGTGGCATTATCAGGAAGTATGATTTTATCGGAGTAGGTATGACTTTGTTGAAGTAGATATGGCCTAAATGGAGGAAGTGTTACTGTGAGGGCAGGCTTTGAGGTCTCCTATGCTCAAGCTACACCCAGTTCAGACCACTTCCTATTGCCTGTGGGTCAAGATGTAAGACTCTCAGCTCCTTCTCCAGCATCATGTCTGTCTGCACACCACCAGGTCCCACCATGATGATAATAGAATAAACCTTTGAAAATGTCAGCCCCCCCCCCATTAAATATTTCCTTTATAAGAGTTGCCATGGTCATGGTGTCTCTCCACAGCAAAAACCCTAACTAAGGCAGGGCCACCACAATGTGAGAAACTGTATTAAAGGGTTACAGCATTAGGAAGATTGAGAACAACTGTTCTAGCAGCATTTACACTAAGCTAAGCTCAGATCTGTTATCTTCTGGTTTGGTCCCTCCTGCAGTACTCAGTAGGACTTCACTGTGAGGAGCAGAAACACTGGTGTAAATGTATAAACTATGTCATGCACTGGGACAAGCTGTATTGACTATTTTCCTGTGATAGGTGAAGATGCCCTGTCTCAGTCAGTGAGCAGTTACTAGAGCTGAGAGCCAAGGCAACACCCACAGCATTACCACTCCCTGTTGGACATAAACAATCATTCTCATTTTTATTTCTATTTATTCTCTAGTTTTCAGTGACAAGGACTCTAGTTAAAATGAGTATGGACATCAAAGTGTGATTTCAAGTTTGTTTTGAAATATGAGAACTCTTTCCCAGGGTAGAATCACCTTATAAACACAGCCAAAAGCGCCACTTCCGAGATGGTCCAACACAGCATAGTCGCCTATGTACTTCAGCGGTGCTTTCTTCTGATTGATGCTCTCAATGTTCTCAGCAATTTGCTTCAGTTCATCTTCCTAACCAAGTTATAAAAGGGAAATGGGTTGCTGTTATTTTATCCTGACCACAGAGCAGCCTGCCCAAAGTTTTACAACTCAAGACTTACCAATAGCAAATTCAACTGTGATACCAAGTCCTCATAGGCACTGATATCACGAACATAATGTCCTATGTCAATGAAGATCTCAAACAGGTCAGTGGGAAAAAGCCTACAGGGAAACACACACACTTAATGTGGAGCTTGGGTACAGTGAGCCACTGCTTCCCTTCTGGATGCAGCTCACTCACCAGTTAACCCTAACAACCAACCTAACTTGACTAGGTTATCAGCAGAGTATGGAAATAACGTGCTCTGTCTTATCATGCAAAGTTATACTGTAGCTGTATTTCCTGCAGAGTAAGCAAAGACGAAGAGCAATGTTCTAAAGACCCACTGAACAACACTGTGCTGTAGTTACCTGCTCTGTACTTCACACTTAGAAATGGGGAGGAGTGGATCTCACATTATTTGTTTCTATGACAATAAAAGGCAATGGAGCTGAAACAGATTATGCCATGGCCTTGTTTATAATCTATTTGGTGGTACACACACTAAGTGTATTCAAAGAGGATATTTGTTGGGTATTTACAAAGTATTTAGCACTTACATGAAGTCATTTATTACAGTTCTAAACTTAACCCCAGGATGTAAATATATTTTTAATTTTTAAATTATATGTTTCATAAAAATAAAATACTAGTAATTGAAAAAAATGGAGAGAATTATGCATTTCCAAAGTAATGGCTTCAATGGCCTCTTAAAATGTTTGAGTTCATTAAAATGGATGGCTTTGGGCTATGAAATGAAAGTTTATAATAAATAATTTTCCTTTCTTTTCCCTAAATTCAAATGTCACAGGAAAATAAAGCAACAATATAGAGTGAACCACACCTTCTCAACAAAGGATTTGATCTGACATCCAGACTTTCTTCATCAATACAATTCTGGTACACAAGGTTGTGGACCTGGATTTTGTCCAAATGGTGTGCATGCCCTAGATGTTTAATGTGTCTGCTTCCTAAGGCCTGTTTTCCCATACTCAACTCACCTCTGGCCCAGTCCTGGGTCCCAGCCTCTCAAGGGCACCTAAACAAACTCTTGGTTGGTAAGGGGAAATGACAAGAATAACTTTGGAACTTCTGAATGGTCAACAACAAGTACGTATTTTGATTCAATCCATTCACGGTGTTGATACTCTTAGTTACAAGCAGAGCCTCAGCAGTTACATGGTTTGTGAGGTGTTGTGCTGATGTAGTCAGCTGTCACGTGGCATGTGAGGTGGCTGCAAAAGCTGTTAAATCGGTGGAGTCTAAGAAGTCTAGAGAGGCCAAGCAGTGGTGATGCACGCCTTTAATCCCAGCACTCGGGAGGCAGAGCCAGGCCGATCTCTGTGAGTTCGAGGCCAGCCTGGTCTACAAAGTGTGTTCCAGGAAAGGCGCAAAACTACACAGAGAAACCCTGTCTCGGAAAAAAAAAAAAAAAAAAGTCTAGAGAGGCAGGGCTTGCATGGAGCCATCCTCTTCCCACAGTCCCTCGTTAAGAGTGAGAAACCAGGCTGGCCCAACCAGAGCCTCGGTTTAATTTTTACGCCCACGTCACTTCCAGCTCATACCTTTTAAAGAGTGGCCTGTTCCTTTCCATACTGAAGAGAAACCTCAGGGCTCTGAATGCATAACACTAGGACAAAGAGAGGACACTTAAAGGGCAGCCCAGCAAATACAAACATTTCAGTGCAGAGTTACTGGCAGCAGATGTTACAGAGGCTTCCCTGTGTGTGGCTGGCCTACGCTGCAGGCCAAGCCCATAAACAGGAAAAGTAGCACCAATTCTGGGGTCCCTCTCCTGTCTACAGGGCTGGTGCTGCAACATGCTGGAGATGTGGCCCTGTTTACTCCACATTGGCCATTGATTCCTTTCTAGAAAGTACAAAATGAGCAGAGAGATAAGAAATAATAGTCCTCTGCCAAGGAAGCCATACAAAAAAGACTTCCAGGAACTCAGGGTTCACTCTGTCTATTCATACGGTTTCTAACCACTGGAAACTACTGCACATAAAAACAGTAACAGGCACACTGGATTCAAATGTGGCAGGTTGGTCTCCTGAATAAAAGCCCTAACCATTCTCCAAATAGAACAATGAACAGTTGATCATCAGAAGGCTTGCAAAGAGGCCTGAGTGCTTCACCTGAGAGAAGCAATTTTCTGGGGCCAGCAAGATGCCTCAGTGGGTAAAGGCATTTTCTGTCAATCCTGAAGACCTGAGTTTGATCCCCAAGACCCACATGGTGACAAACTGTTCTTAGACATCCAATATGCTCCATGGCATGACTGCCTACACACATAATCACACACAAGTAAACAAATGCAGTTAAATATTTTCATATGTAAAGAAAATAAACTTCTAATATTCTGCAAGGGAGAAAGAGAGAGCAGAAGGAAGAAGAGGGGATGGGGTAGGAAGGAAGAGAAGTGGAGGAGAGAACACAAGGGAGAAAAGAAATGGGGGGGGCGTGCCCTGGCTAGTTTTGTGTCGACTTGACAAAAGCTAAAATCATCTGAAAGGAGGGAACCTCAATTGAGAAAATGCCTCCATAATATCCAGCTGTAGGGCATTTCCTTCATTAGTGATTGATGGCAGAGGTGTGGTGCCATCCCTGGGCTGGTGGTCTTGGGTTCTATAAGAAAGCAGGCTGAGCAAACCGTGGGGAGCAAGCCAGTAAGCAGTACCCCTCCATGGCCTCTGCATCAGCTCCTGCCTCTAGGTTCCCAGCCCATCTGAGTTCCTGCCCTGACGCCTTTCCTTCCCAGTTTTCTTTTGGTCATGGTGTTTTACCACAGTAATAGAAACCCTGACTAGGATGGTGGGATTGGGTGGGGGCAATAAACCGGTACACTTGTGACCCAGACCACCAGTGGAGTGATTATGGTCTTCTGGAAACCTGGGATCATTTCATAAAATTGATGATCTGAACATAGAACGCCCAAACAAAGCTGCCCAGAGTCTGACAGAAAATAAAGGGACATAAAGGAGCCTGGGGAAATGGTGGAGAACTGTACTCCTTGGAACCCTTTCTAGATGGGGTTCTAAAACCTGTCTTGGCTTACCAAAGCTCGTGCTCATGACAACTCTGACTGACTGTGCTGTCCAAGGGCAGTGTCATGTATCTGAATGCACTAGAGAAGCCCAGCTTTCCTATGTTCTCATAGTAGCTTTCCAAAACCCCTGCCTGGCTGCACATAGTAGTAGCAAGAGGCTCTGAAAATCTGGCTGTTATGCTAGATGACAATATTAAAGCCCTTTTTAGAATGATCTTCCTTTTGAACACACACATAGAAACATGGAAAGTGTATATAATTATGGGGAAGCATATGATATCTTCATGCACATGTGCGTTGTACAATGTCTAAGCAAAGCTAGACACACCTATCCCTTCAAACACTGGCCTTCAAAGTAGCTTTGCTCCCTTTTGTAAATGACTTAGAAAGAATAATAAACTGCAACTCCACAAAAGTGACCTTTGTCATTCTGGTGTCACTGGGAACACAGTCCCTAATGCTCACCCCCCAGAAAAGCACAACAATCCTATATAAGTGTGCCTACTCTTTGCCTTTGACACTCTGTTTTAACACAGTCCCTAATGCTCACCCCCCAAAAAAGCACAACAATCCTATATAAGTGTGCCTACTCTTTGCCTTTGACACTCTGTTTTAAGACACACAACTCAAGTCACTCAGCAGCTCACCTGTCCCCAAGTACCCTCTAAATTCTCCACATCTACCCTGCTAATAACACTCCCATGGAAATCCCTGCCACCCTGGAGCAGCTGTGTCCAGGGGCTCCCTGTCCCCTTTTAAATCCCTTCTCATCCATCAAAGTCCATTTCCTGGGATTTCCTCTTCAAAGACAAAATGTTGGTGACTGTGGTTCATGTTTAAAGATGACAACCACTTTTCCATTGTTGTTATATTCTGGTGTATGATGAAATCTCTTTTAAAAGTACAACCAACAGGTGAACAAAGAAGTCACCAAATAAGCCACATAAGTCATACACACAAAGGAACTACTGATGGGCTTTTCATGCTGTTTGGAGTCACTGGTTTCCACCCTGACTCCATCAGTGAGCACATTCCCTTCCAGCTGCATAGAGCCCAATACTCAGCTAAACAATCCTAAAAAGTACAGATTCTCTTATCAAAGGCTCCCCAGATTTCAATACCTTGAGATAAAAAGCAAAAGACAGGCTTGTTACCTGTAGTAGAATGGTTTTTGCTGCATTCTTTTGTTTATTTGGTAAAATTAATTTTGCTATTGTATATACACCATTTTCCTGGAAAAATAAAGAGGCCATATATCAGTGACCAGTAGCAATACTACAGAGAGAGACAAGCATTCAGAAGCAGTAAAAGAGCCTTACAACAGCCTGAACAGACAGTAAGGACTAAAACTGTTAATGTAATACTTTCAAATGCCAAAGACTACAGACAAGCTTAAGTTTTTCAAGGTAGAATTATATGATATTATGTACTAAATTACATAAATTTGAAGTGATTTAAATATTACAAAAACAAAGAGTGGGAGAATATGAAGGGACAGGATAAAGGAATTCAAACATCTTCGTAGTCAAACTCTGGGCTGGAGTGATCGTGCAGTCAGTCCCCAGAACCGAAGATGAAAAAAAAAATGGCGTCAGCCGGCCGAGGTGGAAAAAAAAATGGCGTCAGCCGGCCAAGGTGGAAAAAAAAAATGGTGTCAGCCGGCCGAGGCGGCTCACTTGTGATGCCAGTGCTGAAAAGGCAGAGATAGGAGGCTCCCTGGAGACCACTGGCCAGCCAGTCCAGCCGAATCAGTGAGCCCTGTGCCAATGAAATACCCTGCCTCAGAAACAAGGCTGGGGATGGACAGCCAGTTTGGTAACTAAAAGCACACACTGCTCCTGCAGAGGACCAGAGCTTGGTCTCTGCATTAAAGTCAGTGACTCACAACCACCTGTAACTCCAACTCCAGGGGATCCAGTGCCCACTCTGGACTCCGAAGGCACCTGCACTCTCATGGGCACAAACTCACAGGCAGACATACACATACATGCATCATGTTTTATCTTAATTTAAAACAGTGGACAGACATCTCCTGATGAATGCTTCCTCTGACCTACACACACACATGCATGGGTACCCACACACATGAATGATCAGACACAGGAAAACACAGGTACATATACATTCCAAAACTACCAAATTCAAACTATAAAACATACTTTTTCCCTTTTTGTTTTGATAATTAAATAATACACAGAGATTAATCATTTTGAAATAAGTATTTTTAAGAAAAGGACAATGACAAAAAAGGATAAACTTTAAAGAAATCCAGTGTGGAACAGCACTGTTTTACACTGCTCTGACACATACATGGAGGTGAAAAAAAGCCTTTCAGCTTTCTGCCAGCTGTGAGTATATGGCATCTTATCCACCTCCACGAATCTTACCATTATAGCCATAGCCATCCTGTAGATTATTTTATAATTCTGTTTTATTCATGAGTACACTCATGAGAGGTGGAACCATGTTCCCCCTCTGGGAGCAAACCCGACCAGTCATGACAACAGAAACTGTGCCCAACCTGGCTGTTCTTCCCACCACTCCCCCCCGTCATGCTGTCTATGTATGGGCTTTATCTCACGCCACTGCCACCACGCATTCTGAAGGTGATTCCGCAGCTGTTAGTCCTTTCCTCTGTAAAACTCAACACGAGGGAGTTACCCTGAAAGAGCCCGAATGAACGGACCACAAGTGAGGCCAGGAAGAGTTACTTCAGCTGTCAACTTGACACAGCCCAGTTACCTGAGGGAGCCTCAGTGGGGGATTACCTCACTCAGCCTAGCTTGTGAGTGTACGGAGTTCATGCTTTTGATTGTTAGTCAATTTAGGTGGGTCCAGCTCACTGTGGGCACTGTCACCCCAGGGTAAGTGGTTCTGGGCTGTACAAGAAAACAGGTTGAGCACACACCAGAGGGAACAAGTCAGTAAGCAGCACTCTCCCATGGCTTCTGTTTCCTTTCTTGCCTCAAGGTTCCCACCTTGAGTTCCTGCCCTGATTTCCCCAGGGACGGAGTGTGACCTGGAAGTGTATGTTAAATAGGCCCTGACCTCTCAGAAGCTGCTTTTAGTCAGTGTTTTATTATAACATGAAAGCAGACTAGAGCATAATACAACTGAGTTAACTAAGGACAAAAATATAAACTGGAATTCTATAAGCTAAAGAAGAAATGTTAAAATAGTTTTTAAATTACATGATGGGTCCTCAAACCAATGTGCTGGAATACAAACTGCAACCCAAGGGCACTGGGTCCTGATGTCCTTACCTGGACCACTTGGTGGGCATTGGTATCATTAAGAGCCAGTTCAGTGAGGGCAGCACAACAAGCTAGGAGGGAAGCAATCAGACCTGTCATAATCTCCAGTACCCAGCATGTGCCCAGCATTTGCCAGAAATACAATAAACGGGTGGGTAAATGAATCACTGCTCTCAGTACAGTCCCCAAACCCTGGTGATCAGACTATGTTCTACAGTTTCAGAGCGGGTGACAGACTGTCGGTCATCAGAGACACTGGGACACAATTCCTCCTACTGAGCTACACATGTTACGTTGAAGACTTCTACACATCACCATGTATTTCTCACAATATTTCACATGAGCAAAGCTAAAGCCTGGGGATCTTGAGGAACATGGCTAAGGACACATGGCCACCCCCCTAGGTGGAGGAAAGACTCGGACTCCACTAACTGCTTATCGTTCTTACTAAAATGTGAAAGGGGTGATGTCAAGTAAGCCCATATCATGTATACAGCTCCAGAAGACTATCTATGTGTACCCTAGGTACCCCATCAAGCAGAACACCTGGGGAGTTCTAGCCTCCAAGCCTCTTATGTCCCTCTCTAAGCACTGACTATCCCTATAATCCCACTGTGATGACCACTAATTGCACCAGTCTGAGAACAGCCAGACTACCAGGAACTCTGAGATGAGCTAGCATGGTGTACCAGGAACCTTTAAAAAGGTACCCAGCACAGCCTGTGTAGAGGTAGAGGCCTTCCTGAGTACACACAAACTTCAGAGGGAAGGAAGATCTAGTTCTCTGCCCTCGTGTGCCTGACAAAACTTCTCTTCGGTTCTCCAGCAGCAAATCTCTGTGAACAAGCAAGCCTGTCTTGTGACCTTTGCCTTTCAGCTCTTGCCCTCCACCGCACATGTCCCTTGTCTCAGTGCCTCCCCACGGTCCACTGGCCTCCAGCACCCTCTGCTCCTTTCCAGGCTGCTCCAGGGTCCAGACCGACCTGAAGCACCCACACTGCATGGCCACTCTACAAAGCCCAAAGGTCAGGCACCCTGACAGGTGCAAGCTGGAGGAAACTCAACCAGGAAAAGGCCTGCTCAGCTCAGCTTTCACGTCCCTTGAGAAGCTCCCGCAGCTGTCTTCCCTCTCAGCTCCTTGGAGCTGGTCTGTGGAAGAAGACTCCCTGACCCCTCATGAGTGGGATGTTTGTATTCAATAGGATACTCTAAGATCAAGGAAACTGTAGGAAGCATGGTTCGGGCCCAGACCAAGCTGTGGGCTTTAGTCCAGCCTTGGCAGTGATCTCATCTGCTGTATCATTAACCTGCCTGTCCAATGCCACTACGGAGAAGGCTCTGGCATCCATGCGGATTCACTGTTACACATCTGGAATCCTGCAATTGGGTACACTCAACACCACTATACTAATGTTATAACACAGAATAACAACACAATAAAGAATGCAGAACTAAGTAACAAAACCCAATTATGTAAGGCAGACACCTGCTTGGAGAGAGGCAGTATTTTCCTGTATTTCTCCAGGGCTTAACTCTTCTGATAAATGCAGCTGCTGGATCCGTCCTGCAGCATTTGCGCTGGATAGGCTGCCGATGGAGGAGCGATCAGAAACAAAATTCCTATCTCTGGAAAAGGAAAGTTACTGCTCAGGCCACTTATTTATTTTCTTCTGTACCTTAAACACAATAAAAATCTCATAACGAGCCCATATTTTGTATAATAAACAAACAAGTAAATAAACAGAAATCAGGTTGTGAGGTTTTCTATGTTCTTAATTGCTTTATCTGCAAACTCAGCTAGAACCAAGTGTGGTGTTTAGGGTGAGATGAGAGGCCCTGCACTCCCCATGGCTGAACTCTTGGGGCACTGCAGTCTGTGTGTGGGTGCATCTCAGCCAGGATTCCTCTGAGTTCCTCTTAGTGAAAACCAGTCCTGCTGAATCTTCAAACTGTTTGCTCTTTGTCTCCCTACCACAGGAGTCTCCATGAGCATGGCTTGAAGCCCTGTCTCCACCTAGCCTTACCAGCCTTTTCTCTCTGTTCTCTCTTCTCTTTCCTCTGGCTGAAAGCACCTTTTGAAAGCTTGCCCTCTGTTTTGCTATTTCCGGGGCTGCCCTGGTCTTTAGATCAGTCTTCAGGGCTGTGCTCATCACTCAACCCTCATTCCCCATCTTGACTGTTTGACTTCCTCCCTTCTACAGCTCAGTTACTCATCTTCAGCCACAGCTCACGAATCCATGCTCGGCAGTTGGTCTGCTGCGTGCTGGGTGCACAGCTTCCCACCACAGACTCTGTCTGTTATCTGTTTTGTTCCCTTTGGTTGATAGGGTTCCTTTATTTATTTATTTCTCATGACATCAGCTGTTTGGGTCTGTACGTTCCCACACATAACACAAATGGAATCTCCCCGTCTTCCCTCAGTGCTATCCGGGTCACTCTGTTCTTTCTGTCATGAGCTGGGACAAGGAGCAGCTCCTTTGATGGTCTTATCTGTGGACATAATTATCTTGGAACTCTCTGTAGTGATCAATGTGCCTGACAGGAATGTGCTTGCTGTTGGAGGCTGCAGGTGTACAGGCCTAAATGGGTTTCCTGAAAACCGCCCAGCAACAGCCTGTTAACACTCGCTCTGCCAGGCACCACGCAGCTCCTCGTCTAGCACCAGCCCCGGCGGCCAGGTGCAGGCATAGGTCCAAGCAGACTGTACTTACCCAGCTAGGAATAAGCCCTTCCAAATCACCTTAGCTACTTTAAACATCCAATAAGAGTTGACATGTATCACCTTCTCAGGGATAAGTTTTCCAACACCATACATGGATGGAGTTGGAACATGAGTCTTTAGACATGAAAGAATTCCTTTCTATCAATTATATAAAACCTATGACTTGAGCTAATGAGGGGAAAATGCCTGTTATAATTAGCTTTAACTAATACTTCACTATTACAGAATTCCAGTCATCACTGAGAAAACAGCAACTATCCAAGGATGACTACATCCACTATCTTCACCCTACAAGCACAAACAAAACAACCATGCAACTGTTCTGACCAAGGGAATAACCTTGTATGTCGCAGAACTGGTGAAGTATTTATAATCTATACATCTAAGTAACTGAGGCTTTTATGAAGCTAGGAGGATGTCAGCAGGCCACATACTTTCCCTTTGTTTTCACAGTGACAGAAATCATTAAGGAAGTTTATTGTTCATACATCCACAGTCTCTTCTAATGCTCTGAAATATTCCCACAGAGAAAACCCGTAAAGGAATTGTATGTACAAAATCTTAGTCATATCAATTTGATAATCTCTGGTGATGTTAAAATGGATAAGCCACTCTGCCTTAGAGCACAAAATAAGCTCTCTTTTGAGCAGAAATATCTACCTGTGACTCTGACTTAGCACACTTGGGGCTGAATTATGCCTTATAATAATATTCAGTAACAGAATATTCCCAAAGATGGTCCCAATGTGTATTACTACTCAATACTTCAAGATATTTAATTCATAAAATATAGTTACAATGCAATATATACCCAAGCGATTTCAATTTCAAATTATTTTAACAAACCATCCCCTTTCATGCTCATGGGCTAGAAGCTACTAGAAAGCAGGTATGGAGGTGTGGTGTTTTGAATGAAAATGACCCCCATAGGATCATAGGGAGTGGCACTATTTGAAATGATTAGGACATATGGCCTTGTTGGAGTAGCTGTGGTCGTGTTGGAGGAAATGTGTCACTGGGCCTGGGCTTTGGAGTTTCAGATGCTCAAGCCAGGCCCAGTATCTTTCTCTCTCTTCCTGCTGCCTGCTGATCCAGCTGTAGAACTCTTAACTATTTCTCTAGCACCATGTCTGCCTTCATGTCACCATGCTTCCTGCTAAGATGATAATGGACTAAACCTCTGAGCTGTAAGCCAGGCCCAATTAAATGTTTTCCTTTATAAGAGTTGCCATGGTCTTGATGTCTCTTCACAGCAACAGAACAATGACCAAGACAGGAACAGTATACCTTTTATCCCATTTCTTGGAAGGCAGAGGCAGGTGGATCTCTGTGAGTTCAAGGCAAACCTGATCTAAATAGTGAGTTCCAGGACAGTCAGGCCTACATAGAGAGACCCTGTCTCAAAACACAATAAGACACACAAACAAAAAAAAAAGAGCTACTAGAATATTTTACTAATTTATAAGACCCAGGCCCCCACTTACCCTCGTAAAATATGAAGGAGCTGCTTGATGCCACCCCAGATACGGATTTCCACACTGGTCTCTGGGTCCTCACACACCTGGACCAGAATCCAGACGACGCTCCACAGCAACTTCAGGTGGTCAGAGTGGAGCAGACTGAGCAGGATGGGGATGCCCTCGTAGAGCTTCACCTGCTCCTTCACCTGGGGCTCCGCACAAAGCAGGCGCAGAAGCTCTGCTGTAAGTCTGGTGTAACAGAAGCAAGCGTGAGAATCACCCCCACCCTGCATCAGTGACATCACATGACCAGAGCATCCACTGGAACACAGAATCCACACTTGAGCCATTGCTCTTCTCACCCTGTGATCCTCGATCATGAGTGAGGGGTGGGACCCTCTGCCAGTCCTCTCTCTGTTAGATCATGGCCCACCACTTTAAGAGCAGATCCACCTCTCCTATGGTCTGTCTTGACCAACGCTCTGCTGCCTTTGTCCCTGTGTCCTATTGCCTAACAGGAATTCTTCATGCTCTACCTGGCTTGAGCTACAGACAAGCTCCCTATACCTTGGGGTAAGTTGTTACAAAGGTAAGGGTTCTCTCTCTCTCTCTCTCTCTCTCTCTCTCTCTCTCTCTCTCTCTCTCTCTCTCTCTCTTTCTCTTACACACACACACTCCTCTCTCCTCTCTATCTCTCTCTCCTCTCTCTCTTTCACACACACTCTCTCTCTCTCTCTCTCTCTCTCTCTCTCTCTCTCTCTCTCTCTCTCTCTCTCTCTCTCTCTCCCTTTTACCCCAACTCATATACCATGCATCCATGGTGGCAATCTCTCCTACTTTCAATTTAAGCTGATAATGTTTATAATGCTGTCCTACCTCACAGCAGCATCATATTACCTCATATTACCTCTGTCTGGTATGATGTACTACCCCTTTTAACACTCCTCCTCCTCAAAGCCAGGCCATGGCCAATGGTTATGTAGCCCTCTCTCTCCTTATAAAGCTCATTTTCTGCAGGGTAATTCCATGGCTGCTCCTTGCTGGAGCAGAGTGTTCGCTTATGCCCTCTTTCTCCTAAACACTCTTCAGGGTTCACATTCCCACACTGCTCTGCATTTCCACTCCCAGAGGACTTCTCGACGCTCCTCTCCCTCTCAGGCCCCCCCCCCTTCTAGCTCTGATGTTAAGAACACATGTTCTATGTGGTGGGTCAAGCCTGTAATCCCAGCACTTAAAGAGGCAGACACAAGGATCACAGAAAGAACAAGACCAGCCTAGGGAGAGCTACTTATCAACCCATCTCAAACAACAACAACAACAACAAAAAATGTGTCTTCTTTGGTAAGCAGCATGCTTATCTTCTCAGACTTTCTACAAGAAACATTCTCTCTTTATTCTAAGTGCATCTCAACATGTAGATGTATTCCACTCCTACCCTGTTTCCACGTGTGTTATCGGAATATAAATGTGCTTAAAGTCTTTTTGGGAATTCACATCATGTTCACGGGAAAATCCACACCATCTTACCATGCAAAATGCATCCTAAAAACCTGGGTAAACATGTTACATGACCTCATCTGTAAAATATGAAAAACAATAGTTTTGTGTAGATAAAGGGGCCTCAGGAGGGCTCAGGGAAGGTCCTTATGTAGGGAAAGAGCTGATCAGAATTAGCTACTTTTTTTGCTTATCGTCAACTGTTCTAGTTTTTGACACTTTGCCTCCTTCACCCCAGCTTCAGTGCCTGCCAGCCCACTCTTCTCACACGTGCAGTGTCTGCCTCTACGGTACAGCACAGTCTTTGCTGAGACACTTCCTCCTGTCCCCCGTCACTCTGATCGGGAGTTTCTATTCTGTGCTGAACCTTGTTGACTGCATCTTCCAGGGCACCAGAGTCCTGCAAGGACCCAGGGAGTTCTCCCTGCCTGTCCCAACCTCACAAGGCATGCTCTGATCTTACTCAACTGTGGTAGGGTCTGGCACCTTGTCTCTTGAGTGAGTTCAAATCACCAAGTCTGAAAGCATAGACTCTTGTCTAAACCAACACTCTTATAAAACAGTGTTAAGTCAGCTTGGAAGAGGAATTTCAAAAATGTCACTGCAAATATCAGATCTCCATCATTTAGGATTTCTATACTCTTGGCTTTTCAGAAAATTGTAGTTTAAATGCCAAACAATACAGATTTACAATCCTAAGCACACCTAATCGACTATACAGAGTCTTCCTTTAGAGCAATGCACTGCTGAAGCAGAAAGGAATCAATTTTGTTCTAGATTCTGCTGTGAGTTACAATGTGACTCAGTCAACATCTTAGCTCACTTGCCTTAAACACAATGGCTTTTAGCAACTTCATTTATTCCACACATTAATCTAAGATTGAGAGAGAGAGAGAGAGAGAGAGAGAGAACTTAAAATTTCTTCCCCTAAACTTTTTATTTAGACAAATGCAACAACAAAATTAATAATGATGCAATCATAAAATTATGATTGGATTCTATGTACCTCTTCCCCCTAGTGTCCTCACATTGTCTTAAATGGAAAAGAACTGCCAAGCTGACTCATGATATTCAATTAACAATATAGATGACATAATTAAAAAGTATTTTTATCACAAATGAAACAGCTTTTAAGGGGGAGGAGAGAGACAACAATATTCTGGAGCCAAATTTGATGATCTCCCTCTCATGTTGGGAGATCATAGACTTAAGTTACTGCAAGTTCCATGTTCTACTGTGGAAGCATTTTCATGAGGATCAGACCCTACCTTTTGGAAAGTAAGTCATATTCATGCAGAATCATCAAGAGGTTTTCTACTATGTTGAGTTCACTGATCTTCTCCCTACACTCTGGACTACAAATGCAACATTATTAGTAGTTACTAAAAACATATTCAACTTCAGCCACATTTTTCTATCCTAGTGGTCAGAGTAGCTTATGTGGTGGTCTGAGAATGACTCCCATAGGCACATAGGTTTGACTCATTGGGCCCTAGTTGATGGAACTGTTTGGGAAGGATTAGGAGATGTTGCCTGTCACTGGGGGCAGGTTTTGAGGTTTCAAAAGACTCAGGCAATGCTGTTAACTCTTTCTGCCTCATGGCTGTGTCTCAAGATATAAGCTCCCAGCTACTGCTCCAGCACCATGCCTGCCTACCTGCAGCCATGCTCCCCACCATGATGGTCATGGATACACCCTCTGAAACTGTAAGACCCAAATAAATTTTTTCTTCTATCACAGCAATAGAAAAGTAACTTAGACACCTTGTAAGGAGTTGTGAGGCAAGAACATGGAGAAACTAGGAATTGTATACTGTTCACAAAAACATAATGATCTGCTTATTGACATAAAAGTATATTTATAGCTCTATCATTTAAAATAATGACACTATAGAAGGACAGGTTTTCAAAGCCAAATTTTATCATTGAAAATGTCCTATATATTACAGGGGATATATAGGTGAGAACGAAGAAAGGAGGTCTGGGAGATTCAGCTGGCATAGGAATGTAGTTGTTCTGACGCTCACAGAAGGGAAACCATCAGTCATGCTCCCTCAAACACCAGATGGCACCTGAGAGCAAGTGGGATGCCCCGCTGTAGGGCCTTCCTTTCTAACGTAAATTATGCTTTCTAACCAGGTGACTCTTCCCCATACCGTGTTTCCCATGTGCCTCCACTCCAGGCTTTAACTGAGCAGGCAACAGATCAGCCTGTGTGTTTGTATCTCTCCCACCTCTGCTTCCGTAGTAGCCACACTTACCTCTCTGCTAAGCTAGCTAGGGCCAGAAGAGTACCCAACAGGACGTTAGTGTCTCGGGCACCAAGTAGATTCACTAATGTCTGAAATGAAAGAGAAAACACAATTACAGAAGTCCTAGGAGCCTCTTGAATGGTGCACTGTCCCTAAAGATCACAGACACTGACTCTTTGCTATTTTTTTCTGGATTCTTTTCTTTTGCTCAATTAAAAAATATATGTACACAAGTGGAAAATGTATATATGATTTTATAATTACTTATTTGTTTTCTTCCTAATGTTACCAACTAAAGTGGTATTGAGTGTCTTTATAAACCAGTGGTTCTCACCCTTCCTAATGCTGAGACCCTTTAATACAGTTCCTCATGTTGTGGTGACTCCTAACCATAAAATTATTTCATTGCTATTTCAGAACTGTAATTTTGATTCTATTATGAATCGTGGTGTAAATATCTGACATGCAAGATATCTGATATTTGACCCCTGTGAAAGAGTTGTTCGACCCCCTCAAGGGGGTTGGGACCCACAGGTTGAGAATCACTGTAAAACATAACTTTTTTATAACCAGGGCCAAATTGTTTAATACCTCATGGCTTTCCTTGAGAATAATGCAGTCCCTGAATCCTCATTGGTGTAAATTCTCTTCCTCCTAGGTTTTCAGAATATAGATCCCCTCCCATCCCCCCAAAACATTCTTGCCAAACACCTCCAGTCAGAGCTGCAGTGTGTGAAGTAGCTGCTGGGATGGAGTTTGTTTCCATCACACGGGCACCCTTTACACTTCCTTCTGTTGACATTGTCATCTTTCTCCAGGTCCTTGCTCATCCCCACCAGCGCCTGATTTATTTCACAAACTTCAATCCCAGAAACATCATTTTCAAAATTTTTGCCAAGCCGACTTAACAACTTAATGTTACTTTTTTGTCAGATCTTAAGCAACAGCAGTGAAATCACTGTCTGTTGAGAAAACTTCTGTGCACCACCTAGATTCAAACCCTAGACCATAGCAGTGTATGTTAACGTATTTCAGGCTCTGATACATACAATTGCTTCCTGGATAGGAAGACTCAACAGGTTATTGAAATCTGCTCTACATAGCTGCCTGCTAAATAGTAGAATAATTTATTTTAAGGTGCATGCTTGTGTGCCTGTGCCTGTGCGTGTGTGTGTGTGTGTGTGTGTGTGTGTGTGTGTGTGTGTATGTGTGTGTGTGTGTGTGTGTGTGTGTGTGTGTGTGTGTGTGTGTGTGTGTGTGTGTGTCTGTGTGTCTGTGCGTACGTGCACATGTGCGGGTATCTGTGGTGTTGCTGGAAATGCAGAGCCCAGGATCCCAGGCATATTGAGCAAATGTTCTTTCTCTGAGTCACATCTCCTTCCCCTTAAAGTAAATCCTTGACCCATAAGCTTGTAATACTATACCACCTTGTGAGTCTGCATCACGTGAAATTGCTATATCCAATTATCTTTGGCTTACAGACAAGGGTGATTTGATATGATTCTAACTAATAAAACCCTACAAGACAGATGGGCTTTGTTTATATGTAAATGTGTATGTCTTTTATTTGATGACTTTCATTTGTTTATTTGTAAATAAACAGCAAACAACTCCATTCTGTTTATAACATTAATGCACTCAGCTTGCATTATATTGAACAGAAAAGTAAAATCCATCATTCACTGTGCCAGTTATTCAGTCCTTATGTTCGTAAAGAAAATAAGGAGATGAGAAGTCATCATTTTAGGCTGGGTGAACAGTGTTATGACTTCTAATGACGTGTAGCTTGACCATCAGGCTCTGAAACTGTGCATGTGAACTGACGCCACAGAGTACTGTGGAACTCAAGAACCAGCTCTTTGAGGGCCCACTCACCTTGTGAGCTCCGCTCTCAGTGACCCATTCTCTTTGGTCTTTCACAGCAGCGAGTTTTTGAAAAATATCTGTTAAAGAAAGAAATCATTCAAAGGGAGATCCAGAGATCAAAAGAGGCAGTAGTCATGAAACCTCAGGTCCTCAAATGTGATAGGAAAGTAGAGAAAAGAAAAACAGAAACACAGACCCACAAAAGGAACAGTAGAGGACAGGACATACCTTTCAACTCTAAGAACTACCCATAAGCTCACCTAGTATTATAAATATGAAAATATCACAAAAGCAAATCCCCTTGTATTTAAAGTTAAACAGGCTCCTGAACCTTTTTACAAACTCAAGGCCTTGTACTTAAGAGGCCTTGCTCACAAATATGCCAACTCATGAGAGAAGGTAGTTCAGCCAGGACCTGAAGCCTGGGAAGGTTCCTGAGCTGAGAGAGCTGCCCTCCAAGAAACTTTCTGGGCCTGGCATCTCCCCTGCACATGAGAGCCAGTGTGTGCCCAGCCAGCAAGCACAGGAAAGCAGTCTGTCCACACAAAGACAAAGGGCTTGAGCTGGCAACCCGAGCAGCAGGAAGCCTGTGGCTTGCCACACCTAGAGGGACTGGAAGGGAGAGGGGAGAGAGAGGAAGGAGGAAGGTGGGGATGCAGGAGCTCTAAGGTGGAGGGGTGTGGGTAGAGGGGAAGTAAGGGAAGAGGTGGGAAGAGAAACTGGTCAAGCTTCCCACAGAAGCCAGATGAATGACTAAGATGCCCATGCCCAGGCCTCAACTTCCATGCCGCTCTCCAGGTGAGGTTCTCAGTTTTCTTTTTCAGGCTCTGGATAGTCCAAATTCTCTGAGCTAGACATAATTATTACACAAATTTTAGGGGCAAAAAAAACCCCTAAAATCTGATATTTTCACAGAAATTAAAAGGTAGAACTCTTCACCAGATGTGGCTTATATGGAAGACTTCTTTCCTGAAACAAATGTTCTTGCCAAAGGAAGAGCTGCCCTGGGAAGATTTGGGGACCCGTGCTGCGGAATCCATCCGCTGGCACAAATGCACACACCATGTGAGTGAAACACCAGTAAGAACATCAGGTGCCCTTTCTCCTGCTGCGAACATCACACTCCATTCCCAGCAAGTCCACAGAATTAGCTGTGTCCCTGGCAACAATGCTTACATGTCATGTTGACCAGCTTGTCCACACAATGTTGCTCCTCTGCGTAGCCCAGGTATTCGTTGGCCACGATCTCCATGTACTGTTTGAAAGACCAACCCAACAAGCCGGTCAGAAAGCTGGCACCAAAAGTGCACAGGAAACAAGAGTGCAGGGCTTAAGAGGAGCCCCAGATGGCACAAGAGGGAATCCAACCGCTGCTCAGTACTCCTGTGCCTGTGGTACTCAAGAGCAGGACACTGGGTTTAGTGTTTCCCAAGTTTTTTTTGAATGTTGAAGGAATTCTGAAAGCCTTTAAAATCCCAAAATGACTTGTAACTGAATAAGTTCATGGTGTGCTTTATGTAAGATATACATGATAATTCGAGTCTTTGATTTACCTTGCAGTGAAATGTTTGTAACATACTATATATATTAATAATTAATATTTTATAATATCTCAAATTATATTTAACCAGCATACATACAAAAATTAGTAATAGGGATGAAATAAGATATCTGATAACTCCTTCCTGTCAATAACTAAGAAACAGACTCAGAGAAACTCACATAATAAGAGAGCAGGAGTGATAGGTAAGTGATAAGATCCTTTACAACATATGGAAGTTCACTTTGTTCAATGAGGTAAATCTCTAATTAAACTTCTTTTTAAAAACTGAACATGGATCACCTTCTCAGGATCCAGTGTTCTGACTGTGTTCAGTTGTCATGGGTTGAAGCAGATGATTCAGGGGTTCTAGTCCAGCCTGGGCTACATGGTGAGATTATTGCTCATATAAGGATAAACAGGCAAATAAAATAAAAATAGCAGAGTGTGTATAAACCTGTTATTTAGCTACTAGAGGAGGCTGAGGCAAGAAGACTGCAAGTTTGCAGCAACCTGGGCTTCATAGTGAGATCCATCCCAAAAGTCAAAAAAAGTCAACATAAGGGCTGGAATGACGGTTGTTGGTGGAATGCTGGCCTAGCTTTCTTACCCAGAAAAGATAAAAAAATAGAATAAAACTAATATAAATAAATAAATAAATAAATAAATATCACCTTTCTTACCATAGCTTTTGTGAGACTGGGCCATTCAGAAACTGTTTTGCTCTCTTAACAAGCCCTAGTTGCTGAGTAGGTGCTCAGCACATATAGTCACCTGTCTATCATTCCTCATAACATAATTTAAGATACTACAAGACACGAGGCTAAATAAAGTAGTTTGTTATAAAATTCTTTTTCATGCAAAAAAAACCCCTAAAATCAGGATCATTCCTTATATTATCACCAACTTATGAATCAAGAGTGGGTGTTTTATGTGGGGAAAACGTAATGACGTCATACTTCTTCACATCATGGGAAGTGACTGGACAGGCAATGCATATCATGACAATAGTCTTTCTTGTCATCATTAGCTAAAGACCTTCAACTTTAAAAGTTTTTTAACTTAGTTAAAATGTTGCAAATTAAAAAATGAAACCTTTTACAACACTTTTTTTATTTTCACCAGCTGGGTAAATGAGGCCAATTAGCAAGAACAAAGTATTTTCCATCACTCTCTGTCTGTGAGTGTCATGTCTCAGAGCCACAGTTACCAACCCCATCTGTTTCTGCCTGGCAGGCAGCAGACACAGACACGCGTTTGTTGGCTGTTTTGAGCATTAGCAGCTCATGACTTGAGCTCCAATACAAGCAAATCCCCTTTGTTTCTTTTGAAGACAATCTGGGGAGGCATCCTAATCCCTCAGCTACTACACTTACCTCCAACCTGAGTGTATTAAGGGTGAATATTTAGAGAGAACCAGGCACCAAGCCCACCATTGCATGATTATTTAAACCTTATCCAGAAATTAACCCAGAATGTAAAGGCAAGAGCAGCTTCCAGAGAAGCAATCCTACCTGGGCTAGGTCTTCAATCCCACCCAATTTATGCAGTATTTCCTAATAAAATAAAAGCAATAGGTAGAGCATGTTAGAGGAGAAGAGGTACATATTTTACAAGTGACTCCATTACTAAGTTGTATGATTTATTATTGTTTCTTCAAGTTCCACATTCTCACATAAACACAGAATATTTAGTATTTGTCATTTCATACTTAAGATAAATTGCTAATGAATAAAAATTGTGTTTGTTGAGATTTAAAAAAAACAAAAACAAAAATAAAAACTAAACAACCAAAAAACATTTGGTCAGAACTGGAGCCTGCCTCCCATTTCTCATTCTCTGTACTTCTTCCTACTACCAGAAAAAAAAAATTAGACTTGGGAAATGCCCAAAGCTAAAAATATGAACTTGTGGACAAAAAGCAGCAGCAGCAGCAGCAGCAAATGGTGAGCGGCAAAGTGAGGAGCTCAGGCACTACGGGCTACGATGGGAACAAGGAAAAGAACGTTCTGGAAAAGCCAAGATTTAAAAATAGACTGGAGTAAACAGCACTCAGGTGCTAGGTAAGAGGAAGGTCTCTGCAGAGCAGCAAAGTCACAAGACAAGGTGGTGCTGTTGTGCCCTCCTGCCCAGTAGTCAAGAAACATTACCTCCCATTACCACCTTTTATCATCATCTCTAATGTAACTACAGCTTGGAGGCTTTTAAGATCTGCCCTTGCCTCTGACAAGCAATGTGTTAGAGATTCCTATAATCAGTTTAGCTGAGCATTTATCCTGTGGGGGACCCCACCTAGCCTTAAAAATCCAACTTAAATCCTCTAATTGCAAATAATTCTAAATAACTATGTCTTTAAAAATGGCTTCTCTGTTCTTTCATAGCTTTGTTGTGGTTGAGAAGCTCCATTAAACACTCACCTAAGCCTCAGGACGTTAGCAGCCAAGTCTATAAACCATATCAGTCAAGGAAGAAGGCCTGGCAGCTCATGGCAGGCTGGCTAACTGTCTTCTGAAGCAAAATTTGTACATTAAGTTCAGTGTGTAAGTGAGGCAGTACATAGACACGACAGAAGGAAGCGGACTGGGTGGACAGCTGATGCTTTAAGAAATGGAGGCGTGGGGCTGGCAAGATGAGGCACCTGCTGCCAGGCCTGATGACCGGAGCTCCATCCTAGAGACTCACATGGTGGATGGAGAGAAACATTCCCATAAGCTGTCCTCTGACCACCCCATGTGTTCTGTTACATAACACACACACACACACACACACACACACACACACACACACACACACACACACACAAACACACACGTAAATAAATAGAAATGAAATTTTTAAAAATTGAAAAGATAAACTGCAGTCATAAATGTGAGAAGACCTGAACAGCTGGACAAAGAAAGGAATGCTTTCAGGTATTCAAGTATTATATAGATAGTGAATGATAGGTGGAAGAGAGAGAAAACCTGGCTAGCAGAAGGGCCATTACTTCTGCAAGAAGGAAGGACAGCTGCACACTAATCCAAATATTCAAATAACAAGAAAGAGAGGAGAAGGCTCCCACCAGAGGGGCTGGGGCTCCTCTGGAGAACTCATGATGCAGTTTTGTAAGGACACAGGCAGGAGGAGTGGGCACGGAGTGGAGATGGTCTGGAGCTGCACTCTAGACCTGCACACTGACAAGTGGGGAGCGAAGCGCAGTGATGGCGAAGCCTTGCTGACATTCGCTGCAGGATGGTGCAGTAATCCCCACCACGGCCTTGTGGCTGTGGCCAAGAATTCTTGGCAACTCAAAGCATTATACAACTGGCAGAGTGCACTCTCTTCTGGTCAGGCCGGGAGCAGCCGCTCGGGAGAATCCCCTTCTATGGAAAGACTGTCAACCCGGGACACGGACATAGTGTGTGTCAAAATGCCATAAACAAAGTAGTCACTGCGTTCCTTGCTTTAAAGAGGAGTGTGATCTACCTTCTGCCAATCAATCAAAGGCAACATAAAAAAGGCCATACTTTAAAAGCAGATCAGCAGTCACCAATATTCTCAGCAAACAAGGTATGCTGAGGTAAACCTTTTGTTGATGTCTTGTAAGCCTGAGAACAAGCTGTTCCTCCTTGAACACTCTTTAATATTCTGCATATAGGGTTTTTATCCAAATGGAGACTTATCAGAGAGCAAATGTGGGGCTCACTGATGAAGGGGAGTAGCTAGCACACCCTGGGCCTGGCAGGAAAAGTCAGACGCATGCTTCTCCTTACATATACCAATCACATAGCTTGACAGAAGGCAGCTCTGAAAAGCAGAGTTCACCCAGCTCCATACAGTGGCTCACAGGTCTGTGGACAACCAGGACAGAATGCCATTTGGTGGACACCCTGACAGCACATGCAAAGGGTTCAAGTGACAGTAACAGCACAAAGCTGGTTTAGAATGTATGTGAGGAAAGGTATGCAGCCTCTGAACAGAAGATACAGTGATCAGCAGCCCCAGAAAACTCCAGTCAAGGCGAGACACATTTTGTTTTAGTGCTAAGTTTGGGAAAGATGATGATTGGGGCAATGAAAGGGAACATTCTGTCTTTACCAACAAAACTGAATCTACCATAAGTACCTAGGTGCTACGAGCTTCCCAGTAGTTTGGAAAGACTCAGCATAAAACAAGATCCTTTGGAAGGAAAAAATCCAACAGTCTGTACAAATAACAGGCATGCTTGAGATGTTAACATGGTTGAACAGAATTGCCATGAGGCCTCTCGCACCGTGTCAGCCCAGCCAGCAGCCTCACTGATCAGAAATGCCTCTAGGTGCTTCCGAAACACAGTCAACTTAGCAAACAGTAGCACCTGCAGCTCCCTCCCTACCTCCAAGCCAGGCTAGAAAGCTTTGAACCAGATCCCTTGGGTAGGCCATTCTTTAAAGTCTCATTGCTAAAGGACCAAGCCCTTCTTATTCAAGGCAAACTATGGCCCTGTGGCTCATCATCCCCGGCATCTCCTGGAACTGTTTTAGAAGTGCAGAATGAGGCTGGAGAGAAGGCAAGGTAGTTAAGAGAACTTGCTGTTTTTGAGGGGACCGGAGTTTGGTTCCCAGGATCCCTATCAAGGTGGCTCACAACCACCTGTAGCTTCAATTTCAGGGACCCAAACACCCTCTTCCAGCCTCTGGAGGCACAGGAAGACATATAACTTCAGAGCAGACACATACACATGCACATAAATATAATGAATCTTTAAAAAGAAATGTAGAATCAGGAGCCTCAGTTCCCACCTCCTGACTAAGAATCTGTATCTATGAGATCCCCATTGATTTCTGTGCACATTAAAATGCAAGAAGCTGTAAACTAGAGACGACACATCCAACTAACAGTGATAAACGGGGAAGGTTAGAGCTGCAGGCCCCTCCCCTGAGACCAATAGGAGGGAGGCCCTATGCTCTCCTGGGCTTAGAGTTACCAGCCGAGAGCTGGGAAGGGATGGGTTCTTGGCAGCTAACAGGCTGCAGCCCTGCTGTTCCCAGGGGTTGCCTCTGGAGTCACGTGGTAAGCTCCCCTCTTGTCACTGGTGGCTCTGCCCTGGTGAGCCTCGTGACCTTAAACACGCTTCAATGCGTGGACTACTGTGTACCTCCTTGAACTCAAAATGGCTTCAAAGGTTTGACATAGACCTGTAGCAGACATAGACCAGAACTCAGTCATTGAACCTTACAGGTTAAGTGTAAGCATGCAGCTGTACCGGCCTGCAAATCCCTGCGTCCTAGTCTTTTCAAAGAGCAGGTGAGCTGTGCGCCACATCCGGAAGGAAGGTCCTGCCTCGTGAAGCAAACACTAACATGGTCCATCTTGAAGAAAAGCCCACTGGGTTTTTAATTTAATTATTTCATTTTTGTTAGAAGTGAAGAACAGTTTTACTTTTTCCAACCAACCTGATAACATGGATCCCTCATTAGCAGCCTCAGACAAATTAACACTCTCAGAAAATGAATGGATGGAGCTCGATTAACCCACTCTCTGAAAGAAGAAAACAAAAGAGGGTATGTTGGTGTTTAGACCGTTCACAAACAACACACAGCTATGAAGGAAAGGAAAAGCTGTGAAGGAACCGGCCAGTGGTCCATCTCAGCTTCATCTGTAAGGGACTGTGACTTGGTATTTCAGCCTTGACCCACACCAATGTAAAACACTGGAAGCCATCTTTGTCTCTTTGGTAACAGGACCCTCCAAACAAATCTGGTTCTGAGTACTCACACTAGCTTAGTAATATTTCATAGTGTCCCTAAATCAAAACCAAGAGCTAAAACTTCCAATACTTAGGTCCAGCTTAAGAAGCATCAATGTTCCAACAGCCTAGTCTCCACCTGAAAAAGTTGTATGCATATACTGAGAGAACAAAAACAGACAAACAAACAAACAAGCATTGTGAGATAGTTTCACTCTAGTTTTCCCCTTTTTTTTGGTTTTTGAGACAGGGTTTCTCTGTGTAACTTTGGTGCCTGTCCTGGATCTCACTCTGTAGACCAGGCTGGCCTTGAACTCACAGAGATCCGCCTGCCTCTGCCTCACGAGTGCTGGGATTAAAGGCGTGCACCACCACTGCCCAAGCTTCACTCTATAAATCAGGCTGGCCTTGAACTTAAGATCCCAGAACTCTGGAGGCTGAAGAGGAGAAGGAGGATCTTAAGTTCAAGGCCAGCTTGGCCTAACAAGAATCCTTCACTGTCCTGTCATCACATTTCTGAGCCAGACATGGTAGTAGACACTGAAGAGCCTAGAGCTGGGAAGGACCCAGAGTTTAAGGTCACCCTTGGCCATATACTGAGTTTGAGGCGAGCCTGAGCTACACTGAAACATCCTCAGAACAACAACAACGAAAGCACAGCAGCAGCCCACCTCCCTTCCGGTTAGCATAGGGGAAGACAACACAGTTCCTCTGGGTGTCCCCACCCCAGCCCCCTTCCCCTGACAAATGTCTCTGTCCTTCAAGCTGGGCCTCAGAGAGTACATGCCATCCTGAGTCCAGCTAAAGCTGGTAGTAAATGTGTTAAAACATTAAAGGTGCCTTCCTTGCCTCTACCTTGTTTTCCAAATTCCCCAGCAGCACCCAAACCCCTCAGAATGAAAGTCTCACAATCCATCCTCTTGCCCATAAGGCTCTGCAGGACCTGTCTTATCATACGCCTCCAAGTCCACCTCCTGCCATAGCCCCTGTTCCCTTCCAGCCCTGTGGCAGGTTGTCTGTGAGCCAGGGCCTAAGGTGCTTCCCAATGGCAGCCTCCTGCGGCTCTCCAATTCAGGACTCCCATTACCTTTACTGTGCTAACCACAGAGCATGTTTAGTGAAGAAGTTACTTCTAACCACAGAGCATGTTTAGTAAAAAAGTTACTTCTAGCCACAGAGCATGTTTAGTGAAGAGGTTACTTCTAGCCACAGAGCATGTTTAGTGAAGAGGTTACTTCTAACCACAGAGCATGTTTAGTGAAGAGGTTACTACTGCATAGCCCGGTAGCCTCCTGAGGTGAAGAAAGTCACTAAGCACTGCCCTCCCCAAACAATGCTATTGCAAGTACAGCCAGGCATTGTCCACAGAAGGCAGGTCCAGCCTGGTGACGCATGCCTCATACTGCCCTGCATGCCAGTTCCACAGTAATCATTGTGCCCGAATTAACAAAAGCCTGAAACACAAAAGGTCCATAATTTCATCTTCAGGCAAGGGAAATGGGGAAAGAGCAGGAACTCTTTCAGACTACAATAACAATGCCATTCACCTGGCTGTGCATAAGGCAATGTCATAATGCCGTAAACACTCCTGCCATATGGAACACTTACCTGAGTTGAAGACCCAGGCCAACTGTCCCCTGGCCTGACCTAAATCTATTCTTGGGCTCTAGAGATAAGATTCAGGTTGTCTTCTCTATAGCACTGAGGAGTTCAACTCTTCCCCTAAACATGCACGTTTAGAAGCTGAGTGAATGAGTCAGGGTGACATCTGTGGCAGCTGCACTAGGCATCCTCCATTCCCTGGCAACACCACACACCATCCCTTCATTATGGTGAGACAGAGGTTGGCAGGGCACTAGACCCACTGATTTATTCCTGGAATGTCTGTGTGTTCCCTGCAGTCCATGCCCCCAGCACACAGACACAGAAGGAAAGACCTGTGACCACCACCCATTGGGAACTACTCTCACTCACCACCACCAGTGAGGTTACCAGCAGCTGCCCCTTGCCACTACCAACAACAGCATGGCCCTCTCCAGCGCAGGCACTTTATCGGTGACCCTTGTGCCATGGGGCACAGTCAGTTTCTTTGGAAAAATAAAAACAAGGCTCAGCCAACCCTTGGGTTGCCTGGTAAACAGAACTCTCCAAGCACAAACCAGTCATCCAGGTACTTGGGAAGTAGAGACAGGGGGATTATAAATTTGAGGTACAGAGCAAGCCTAAAGATAGCCTGGGCAACTTAGTGAGAGTGTCTTAAAATAAGTGAAAGGGGGCTCAGAAAAGAACAAATCTGAACAAAGTATGAAAATGACAGAATAAAACCAAGTACTTTATATGTTAAATTTAAAAGCGGTTGTTGTGTTTTAAGTAGATGTAGGCTGTAACTCGGTGTAGAGCATTTGCCAAGCACATATGAGGCCTTACTGGCCATAGCACTGTGGTTTATCATACTTCAGACTCTCCGTTGGTGAAAACACGGAAAATTTTAGGACACCTGCAAAACTATGATAACTCTAATACTCTTATTTTGGAGAGGGTGCAGGGCAAAGGCACACAGCTAAGACCCTCTCCCCTCCCCAGATGAACAATGGCAGCTAGCAACAGCTGCAACAGCCATGGGCCATCTGATGTGCCTGAACGCCAACAACATTTTCAGCATCCAAGGGGGAAAGCCAGGATCTGTGCTACAAATATGTGTGCGGTATTCTTCCTGTCAGCCGTGGCCAGTCTTCACAGGAAAGTCTGTGACCTTCCCTGTGGATTTTCCATATTAAAATACATATTAAAAGGTCTTTTTTGTTTTTCTCCTTATTCCTCAAGAAAATGAACTAAAATTCCAATGTTGACTTTAATTTTCATTCTTAATGGTGTCTAACCAAATGAAGGGATCCAGAATAGTCTGAGATGAAAGTTCTGTTCCAGGCAAATCACATTTGTTTTGTTTTGCTTTGCAATTTTGGGATGGAAGCCCAAGACTATTAATATTTCTCATAGCTATTCTCCTACTATTGTAAATAGGATTCCTGACGGCTGAGTCCCTGGGTTCTGCCCCTCGAGAATGACCTCAGAAGGAGACCTTCCTTGGCTCCTGGCCTGGAACTCCGAGGAGGACAAAAGGGCCACAGGGATGCAGCCCCGGCTCTGTGGGGAATTACATGCACCTCGGCTCACCAAGACTCAGGGGAACTGGAAAACACAGGACTTAGTGTAGCCAAAGTACTATGCAGGAAATAGGCACAGATGGAGAGCAGTGTCTTCATCAGACTGACTCAGGCAGGCAGGCCCCTTCGCTGGGGTTCCACACAAATGTGGGTGAAAGCACTCTTCAGATACATTTACCATGGGAACGGGAGATGGGTCCTTGGAGGCAGCCCGGAAAGCCATGAATCTGCAGTGACAGCGCTTCCCTGGAGGCTGTCTCAACACGGCAGCCACACAGGCGCAAATTCATAAGCGGGCAAGCATTTAACCTCTCTGGTGCCTGAACTGATGCCACGGCTTCCACAGGACTATTAATATACTCAGTGTGTTCAGCTCCCACCACCCTTGTTCAGGACACCACTTTCTGCCAGCAGTGTCAAAAGAAAAGGAAAATGTCACTGCATATATAATGTTTGAGAAGAGAGAAGGTGGGGGCGTTTCTATTTCCTTTCAAGAGGAAGACACCCATATGTGACATGAGTGCTCCAAATTACAGGCGGCCATTGTGGAAAACACACGGTGTATATCTGGAGAGGCTATTGCCTCCACCTGCCTTTAACACACTTCAGCTCACAATGAACACTTTCCTCATGTTGTGTACTGCTTTCCTTAACACACACCAAAAACAAAGTCCACCTTCCAAAATAAATATCCTCATTCTTAGAATGACCTTTTTTTATTCTGGATAAGTGGACAAGTAAAACTATACCAGGATAGACCAAACACTTAACATAAACAAGAACACATGTGAGGACTGTCCAGAATCCACACCGACTCCTCTCTCACTTCCCTATGCTCCTTGCTCATCCTGTGTTACCCACAAAGCCTAGCCCACATCTAGCCAGGAAGAAACCAATGTGGGGGCTGTGGACACGTCACAGTACTTCCACATCTTCACCACCATGCCCCACCAGCCTGGTTCTGAGTGGGCACAGAGTGCAGCAGAGGCAAGGGCTGGGCCTGGGCTCCACTGGGGCCCCTTTGAAGGGCATGGAACAGAAGCCCAGACTGTAGATCTGTCAAGTGGTGATGGCAAAGAACAACCAGGACCAGGGTTCATTAGGGCAGGATGCTATTTTGGGATAGTCAGGGGAGGCTCTCTTGTAAGATTAGCTCCACATGAGCTGAGGGCAGGAGCTTTACGCAAGCCTGGGTCAGAACAGCAGAAAAGCGGCAGCCCAGGCCCTGGGGTTTGTTCAGAAAGCAGTAGAGTGAGAAAACAGAAGCTTGCTCAGGTAGAAGGCAGCAGACAGAGCTTGAGGGCCTACGGAACAGGAATCTGGCCTTTGGATAGTCTAGGAAGGTATTTGAGGGCTTTAAAAAAAAGGACTCACATGAGCTGATTGAGACTTTGAAAGGATCCTTCCAGAAGCTATACTGAGAACAGAGTAAGGGAGAACCAGATGGGGAAAGCCAGGGAACCCAGGTAGCCTACTACTGTGCAAGCCAGAACTGCTAGCAGCCTGGATTAGCTCAGGAGACAGTGGGGACTGGAGCTGAGGTTTCCTCATGGCTTGAGAGAAAAGTCAAGTGTCCTGTTTTAGGAATGATGCCTTTGAATGACAAAGCAGGAAGGGTCTCCCCATTGACATGGGAGACAGAGGTTGATTCTAGCAAGGAAGCCACCAGGAACAAGGCCCACAGAGGAGATGGAGCAGGGGAGATGGAGCAGGGGAGATGGAGCAGGACAGAAGCACCGAGAGACTGATAAAGCCAGGCCTGGTGGTCAAGGTCTATAACCATAGCATCTGGAAGCTGAGGCAGGATCAGAAGTTCAAGGTTAGCCTGAGCTACAAAATGAGACCCTGGAAAAGGGAGAGGAGAGAAAAAGAGGGGTGGAGAAGGAGAGGGAGAGCAAGAGAGGAGAGATGACCTGTCAGCTGTGAAAGTGTGGCCCCTGGGATGGGACTGCTACTCATGGCCAGGCTCTCAATAGCTCATGTAGATTGTAAACACATCTGTCACACACAGATATGATGATCCTGGCCAGGTTATGGTTGCTTTGCATGGTGATCTGTTGGCCAAGGACAAGCAGTTCTTCCCTGGGAAGGCAGAGCAATTCAGCTTCCTGCCTGTCAGGCTTCCTCCTACTAAGGAAGAAGAGAGCCTAGGGTCATGAGAATGAGGAGGACTGTGACAGGTTACATGAGGGGTCAGAATAAGTTGGGCCCACAGAGAAGAAGGATGCTAGGCTTGAGGTACCCAGGGGCACGGCAGAAGCTGGGAAGAAAGAGAAGAATGGGAACGTCACTCTTACTCTCTTGAGCACAGGGATGCAGGGGGCAACATCAACAGATGAGACTAACAAGCTGGAGTGTGGCTTAGCAACACGACACATACTCAGCATGTGCAGTCCTGGTTCGTCACCAGCACCACAGAGCAAATGAAAGAGGCCCAGAAGGAGTCAGAGGTTCTTCAGAAGAACTGGATGTTAAGCACAGAGAGCCACAGCCTGAGACCTGGGATGAAGTTCTGCACTAGCTACAGACCACACTTCATGACCAGGATGGTAAGAGCACACCATGAGCATCTGTCTATCAACTTGATGTGTTTCAAGACTTAGAGCCGTAAAGAGGCCCTCACTGCATGCTGACATGTGGTCCTCTCACTCCATGGGGAACCTACACAGCCCAAGCAGAGGACCAGGAGATCAAGAGAAGTGCCCTTTGCACCATGAGCTATGCCCCAGTGTCAGCTTGGACAACACAAGTCCTGTTGTTAACCAAGTACAGTATTGGTACTCTCGGCTAGGGACAGCCAGTGCATTCCCAGAACACTTTTTATAGTGATTTCTTTATGATTATTATTTTAGTTTTATAAATTTTGTGGTTTAAAAAGTCAATTTCTAATAAGAGAGGGAGAGTTAGTTTTTGCAAGAGGAAAGTCCCTGATGAGGTTATCCAATCCCAAGTGGTCAGCCCTAAAGACGTGTGCAAAAGAGGAACAGTGAATGGGCCCAGAAGGGTACAGTGTATGTGTGTATGTGTGTGTGTGTGCATGTATGTATGTGTGTGTGCACACGTGTGTGTGCATGTGTGTGTGTGTGTATGTAACAATAATAATCATAGAAGAAAAGGTCATGGACTTGAAAGGGGTGTAGAAGAGGACACAAGAAGAGTTGGGAGGAGGGGTGAAATGATGCAAATACAGTACCCATGTAAAAAATTCTCAAACATTAAAAGTTTAAATTAAAATAAAAGATGGTCACGAGTTGGCCAGATATATTCTAGCACACAGAACTCTCTCTAGTATATAAGCATATCTCCATAAAAATATGCTACAGTCTCATTTTAGAAATGCTTCAAATTTGTGGCAAATACTCAGGGAAATTTGATGTAAAATGATAATAATAAGGATGACAACTTATCTGCTTGGGGGAAGTACAGGATATTTTGGACAGTCCTATCAAATGAGTTGGGCAGGTCTCTTCTAACTAAAACCAGAATATCTTGGTTCTGCTCACCTCCACATAGTCATAGGCAAGGAAGAGGAGCTGTCCTCATTATTCTAGAATAAATGATACCAGGAAAGGCCAGCTAAATGAGCTCACTTTGAAATAACACCTAATTTAGTAACCATGCCAAACACAGAATGCATTCTGATAGTTTTGACAAAATTTCATATTATATTTATTAAAATTGTCATATTATATGACCTGACATCCTTTAACTCACTTTTGGCTTTTAGAACATAACGAGATTCCTTTTTGTAAATACATTAGAGTGACATGTCATTTCCCCCAGTCTCCTCTATCTTTAATATTCCAAATCCAACTCTTGTAGCCCATATTGTCATCTTCACAGCCTTCTGCACCAAATTCCACCAGTTCAAAACCAGTTTCACTAGCTTCATGAAACCCTCTACCTCCAGTCCCATGTGCAAGTTCACTTCACAAGCTAATTACATCATATTATAATACAGACGCTATGTATAGAGAAACACAGACAACAGGAAGCAGGCATACAGAAGAGTAATGGCAGTCGAGAATCTGCCAATATTGTGACAACTGTTATTCCCTGCACAACCTCATGACCACTTGGTCTTGGAGACCGGGCAGATGAGAGGAATTTATTCCTAATATCACACTCTACTACAGATAAATCATGTTAGAGCAGAAAGAGAGTGGAAGGTAAGGAATTTTCCTGCATGTGGACATGCGTCCAAGGCAGCCTGCCTCAGGTCCAGGCAGTACTTCCTTTCAGGACTCCTCTGAAAGACTTGCAGGCTTTCCCCAGAGGACTCTGGATGAACAGGGTTAGTTGCAGAACAGGGACTAATCGCAGGTCAGTCTTAGAAGAACCTAGGAGGAGGTGTCTGAGCACGTGGACTGGAAGAGAACACAACTGAGGAGTGTAGACAACACTGGTAACTGGGCAGAAAAGAGGGAAGGGCAGGAGCCGTGCTCCACTCAAGTCCAGTTCCTAATCATTATGCTTTCAGGGTGAAACTGAGATTCAATATGTGTAGTCTTGTCCAAAGTCTAAAGCTCCCACCTACCAATCTCATCCAGTCTTTAGTTGTCTGACTGTAAATATTTATGTTTCCTCTTGAATTAGAATATGGGTAATTGTTTTTGCTGAGGAAAAAAAGGACCACACGGCATTCACCTTGGTATTTGATCTTATCTTCCTTCTCCTGGGTTGCTTCATCCCCTCTTGGCAAAAAGTATCCTGTGGTGATATTTTATTTGTGCTAAAATGTGGTGATATTTTATTTGTATGTTAATAAAGTTTGCCTGGAGATCTGAGGAAATAGCCAGCCATTAACATAAAAGCCAGGTAGTGGTAGCACACGCCCTTAATCCGATCACTTGGCAGGCAGGATCTCTGTGTGTTCAAGGACACACTAGGGAACAGCCAAGCATGGTGACACATGCCTTTAATCCCAGTACCAACCATTGAGACTGGAGGTCTGTACAGACAGGCACTGACAAGGAAGTGAGGTAGCTGGGCTAAGAGCCAATGAGAGGGCAGAACAGCAAGGCAAAAAAGGCACAGGTTAGACAGGAAGGAGCCCCTTTTGGTACCTGCAGAGCTGGAGAGGTAAGGTTGGTGGTTATCACTATTTCTCTGATCTCTAAGGCTTTCACCCCTATATTTGGCTCCGTGTTTCTTATTTAATAAGACTGTTTAGAAATTCATCTACACTCATCAATTTGAGTAAGTTGAATCTATGCCTTTTAATCCAACATTAACCCTGATGTTCACAAAGGAAGAGGCAAGGAAGCCACACCAAAAGAGTTCTGAGATGTAATTGTTCTAAAGATATAAGGAAAGGGGAGGAAGAAGCCTTGGCATCTTAACAAAATTATATGAGGTGAGGACAATGGGGACCTTACCACTTAATCCACCCCTTACCCAACTCTGAAATTTGTAGCACCCAAGAATGACCTGGCCCTTAGGTGTGTAGCCTAAGATTGCCCATCAGTCACCCATAGCAGGACATGGGGCTTGGGCTGGAGGTACATGCTCACTCTTTCTTCAAAGTCCAGGCTGGGGAGCCTGCTTAATTGGTCACTGTGTCAACTGTAAAGGTGTAACACAAAGGGTATTGTCATGTTGTCCCCAGTGTTAATCGATAGCTTTTTCATAAGGACTACACAGTAAATCTTCCTTGAGTGTCCACACTCAAACCAAGCACATTAAAGAAAACAATGCTCTCCCACATCTTAGCTGTCACCAAATTCCACTAAATTCAGAATCCAACAAGTGATTCTAGTGAGCAGAGTGACAGCTCATCCATCCCATTCCAGAGCCTTTCTCTCTTTTTTACATACATTTAATAATTTCTTTCAATTTTTGAGATTATAAAATAATTATATTATTTCCACCTTCCATTTCCTCCTCTAAAACCTTCCCATGTACCTACCACCCATTCCACCCCATCCCTGCTCTCTTTCAAATTTATAACTTCTTTTTCTTTAGTTGTTATTATGTGTTTGTATGTGCATATGTGTTATATACAAACACACATATATATAATAACAATTAAAGAAAAATAAATAAGCCATAAATCTGAATATATATGTGCATTTATGGCATAGATAGATAGATAGATAGATAGATAGATAGATAGATAGATAGATTCCTAAGTACTACAGTTGCACTGTGCTCCCTCGCAGACTGCTTTGAAGCACATTTTCCGTACAGGATCCATGAAACACACCTTTCTTGGGTAGAGGTCTGTCTTTGAGGCACAGCCTTACCTGCATATGAGTCTGTTTCTCACCAGAGCCGTAAAGATCTCCTGAAATAACTGATGCTGTGGATGTTTACTGAAATTCCTCTCATTCTTGTAGTTTATACTAAGATCAAAAAACAACAGGAAAACGATTTATAATAAACATCATTGGGGTTAACAAAGTTACCGATGAAAACAAGGGTCATCTACATTGAGAGTCTTAAGGTCAACATATTAGCAAGGGCAAGCAACAACTGTTACATAGGAACTCAACGGTGAAGCTGATTATAAAGGTGACGCTCAAGAGCTCATGGCTCAGCTAGTGAAGGAGCTTGCTGAGCAAGTCCGGAGACCTCGACTCTACTCTTGGACCCACATACAAGTAGAAGGAGAGAAGTAACTCCACAAACCTGTCCCCTGAACTCCACATGTGCACTGTGGCACATGAGATCACACACACACACACACACACACAAACACATACATACAAACACACACATACATACACACACACATGCAAACACATACATACAAACACACAAACACACATACATACACACACAAACACACAAGCACACACACACTATGCATTCACACACAATAATAATATATTTTAATTCAAAAATTACATTCCAACATTGGTGTTTCATTTTACCATATTAATTCAATTCTCTCCTCTAGGCACCTCCAGCTCAAATTGAAGGAAGAGAAGGGAGAGGAACGGCTCCGGGGCTTCCCTCTATGCAGCTGTTCTTCACACAAAGGAAGCTTCAAACTCAGATCCACCCACACTCCCACCCTCCATTGACTGTTCCAGCTGGTAACACCAGCAAATGTCATATGTATTTCAGCAGATGTCATTTGTACTTAATATGGATTTACTGACATTTACATTTCTTCGACCAGCAACTGATACATTGTTGTTATCTGTTTTGTATATATGTTTAAGAAAATTTTCATATTCCAAATTCAGTCTCTTGTATTGATATTACAGCCCAACAGATAGGTTAAAAATACTCCCAAAACATTCTACTTTAAACCTTGGAGGGTATAAGATATTACATAAACGGGTCAAACTGCTACCATGACAGGATATTTTCATCGTGCATAATGAAATTGGAGGCTGAGGAGCTAGTTCACTGGGTAAGGGTACTTGGCCACCAACCCTGAGGACTCCAGTTCAATCTCAGAAACTCAGATGGTGGAAGAAAAGAACCAGCTCCCAAAAGTTTTCCTATACACACACACACACACACACACACACACACACACACACACGCACGCCTACTCACGCACACATGCACAAATGTACACTAAATAAACATAAAAAATGGCTAATTTTAAGATTAAGGCCAAATAGAGGAAAATTACATGAACACCACTTTCATATGACTTTTCTGAAACTGTTCAAGATCATAAAATGTCGGAGAAACAAGCTAAACCAAACAAGTAAAAGATCCTCCCAGAACATCCATACTGATACTTCAGCCATTCTTTGTGTACACGGCACTCACTAGCAAACAACCCAAACACACTGTAACACAGAAAGGAAGTGGCCCACAGGAATGCATGCTTCTAGAAGGTCTACACAGCAACACAAAGAAACACAGACTAACTCTCTTTGGTTAAGCCAAGGCCCTGTCTCTGCAATTGAGAAACTCAGATTTTTAAGCTATTATCTTCAAAAAATTTTTATTACATTTCTCTGTGTGTGTTTGTGTGTATCTGTGTATATATGTATATGTGTGTGCGTTTTTGTGTGTGCCTGTGTGTGTCTGTGTGTGTGTCTGTATATGTATGTCTGTGTGTGTCTGTATATGTGTGTGTCTGTGTGTGTGTCTGTGTGTGTGCCTGTTTGTGTGTGTGTGTGTGTTTGTGTGTGCATGTGTGCATGTGTGTAGAATAGAAGTCAGTTCTCTCCTTCCACATGGGTCCCAGGGACTGAACTCAGACTGTAAAGTTTGCTGGCAATCCCCTTTACCCACTGAGCCATATTGCCAGCCCAACTAACATCTTCTTTAGCCACCACATCGGTTCACAGCAACAGGTTCTTTTATGCCTTTTCATCACCAGAAACATGGAAACACAACAAAAGCTAAGGCCACGCTTGGGATGGACCTACCCACATCAACATCTTGGAGCTACTTCCTCAGTGGACAACTGTTGACCTTCGTGTTCAAAAGATGTCCAGACCTCCCAGGACAGGTTCACCTATGCTTGTCTAGTCAACCTGTTACTTGGGCTTTTTTCCTCCCCTGGGAATACTTTCCATGTTAACTGAGATTACTAAACTAAGAATATTCAGACTTTAAATTTTCACTTCTGTGATACATTTAAATAAGTAAACTTGAATAGGTTCTGACAGCAAGGGAGATTTCTTACCTAAAATTTTCAAGTTCAACTGCTTCTGTGGACTCCTGCCACTGACCATGAGCTCTGTGTCCCCCTGCCTTGATGGCAGTCTCAGACTTCGTCATGTTGTTTTGGGCACTATCAAAGTTAATGGCTGGAAGCTACAGAAATGGAAACAAAGAGTTCATGGCCTTTATGGTTCATTCAACACATGATAAAACAAGTCACAGAGCCGGGCGGTGGTGGCGCACGCCTTTAATCCCAGCACTTGGGAGGCAGAGGTAGGCAAATCTCTGTGAGTTCGAGGCCAGCCTGATCTACAAAGCGAATTCCAGGAAAGGCACAAAGCTACACAGAGAAACCCTGTCTCGAAAAACCAAAAAAAAAAAAACAAGTCACAGAATGGGAGAGGTGGAGGGGAGGGACAAAGGAATGAGAGTTTTCCCATTAGACCAATAACCGAGATGACAGCCTTGTAAATAGGAAAGGGATTCCCAAGATTTAAACATCTTTAACTTAAATGTTTACTCCCAAGCTTGGGCCCTTTTCATCACTAACAATGCCATATGCCATAGCTCACTGTTTTGTATGCTGTCTCATGTTGACACGAGTATTTTTTTTGACATGTATGTTTTTGTTCACTGATACTTCCTGGGCACTTAAACCTGTGCTAGGGATACAGATCTGGGGTGAGCCTGGCCAATAGAGATTTCTGAAGTGTCGAGTGTCTGCATCCAGATAGCACACACTGCAAGGAAGAGTGTTCCTCTGCCTGCATTCACCAGTGTACACACTGTTCACCAAGGGCTTAGCACACAGGCACAGGCAAGAATCCATCACTGTTGCTCAGTTTGAACAACGATACTTAGACACTGATTTAAATGTCGAGTTTACCACAATGAAACACATGTTTGGAAGCCTACCCGCTAGTTCTACGTGTCAGCAAGATTCGCACGCCAATAGTCACTACGGTTGAGACTACCCTGAGATTTGGTTTTGGTACCACATTAAATTGAGTATAACATGAAAAAAAATGCCCCATCTTTTCCAAAGTCTGAATGAAATATGTCCTACAATCAATTATTAAACATGAAGCAAGCAAAGCATAATAAAGGATCCATTTTTCAATAAATTATTTCATTGTGCACAATCACAACTGTAGAAGCTAGAGTACAGAAATCGACCACAATTTCCTTACGTTAAGGTGATTTTCCTTACTTCCTGTAAGACTGTAGATAAAAAAATGCTTTATGACAGTGTTACTACTTAGTAGCTACTCCAACATGCTTCCTATCTTCTAGCTTCAGCTGAATTTTCAAATCAGTGACAGTAAACATTCCTTCTATAAAAACAACCTTTGTATATCAGTTCCAGCACCCAATCTATGCCAAAAGAACTTGAGCAAGCAAAGTTTAGTGATAAAACCACACTCCCTATCAGGTTCTCTGGGTTTGAATCCACCATCAGTTAACAGTGTGACCTTGGAGGATTTATTTAATCTCTGTGTACGCTGGTTTCCATGTCATTAAAATAGAAGGAATAATAGCAGTGTGTAACTCTGCGTTATGAGAGCTAAGCGAGTTACTGTTTACACAGTACTTGCTATGTGCAGGCACAGATCTAACAGTTTTATAAACACTCTTATAAACCTTGTAACCACTACCATAAATTTGCTAAGTAAATAAGTTTTTCATTACGAATTAGGTGATTTCCAAATGTGGGCTTATAATCTAAAAGACATTAGATATGAAGTCATAACAACAAGTTCATTTTTCTGATAGACAGGAACTGTCATAACACACACACACACACACACACACACACACACACACACACACACACACAATAGGAAGTAGGTTTTCTAGGCCTAAGGTATTTCAAAGCCCTTTGTTATTGACAAAACTCCTAGAATACTGCCTGCAAGAAAGAAGGTAACAAGCACAGAGCAAACATGTCTAAGCCACTTGAAGGAAAGAGAGGATATAGGTCTCACTCCCGACCCCCGCCCCTACACACAGACTGTCAGGCTGCCAGTGCTAAGAATCAACTCAGAGAGTCGCAGAGGCAAGTTGTACTTGGAAGCTCTATTTGCAAAGCCCAGGTATTTGATAATAAGAACTTTGATACAATCAGCTCCTTCAGATGAAAGCAACATTAGTTCAGAAACCACAGCAATTCCCCTACCCCTGCCACCCGCTACCCCGTACCCCAGATCCACTGTGTCAGATGAACCCAGAGCTCTTGGTTCCAGGCCAGGGCACAAGTTATGGACTGCTGAGGCCTTCCTAATGGAGTGGCCCGTGCTCACTGCACTCTCCATAGTCAAGTGTCCTGCCTGGTCTATACATCTGCCACCTCCCTGAATTCAGTCACCCTAAAGACAGAGCCACACTAACCAGTTCTTATGCTCCTAGTACATCACACAAAACCAACAGGTAGCAGCTACCCAAGTGTGAAGCTGTTGAGTGAATGGCTGCTTTGTCCCCAGGCAACTCTAGTAACCACACCTGCTGAGGACACATGGCATACCAGATATGGTGAGAAGTCGCGGATGTGTAGCGATCAAGGGGTTTGCAGTGCAGAGCAGAAAGGAGCTCGAAGCCATTACATGGGCTTGAAAAACATTCTTCAAAGTTAGTGCCCAGGGTTTGTCATGGCAGAAAGTAAAGAGACAGTGATCATGGTCCAAGGTCTGTCAGGCAGAGGGAGTCCCACAGAAGACCAGCTCTAATGTGACAGATCTGCACAGGCAGTCAGGACAGTAAGCAAAGTACCACAGCACAACTCAACAAGAGGGAGCCTGGTCCCATGAAGAATCATAGAAGGACGTTCTCTTCTCAGCAACTCTGCCCAAATCACAGGGGACATTTTTTCCCCTAGAATTTCTAGTAACTGGTTATCACAGTCCATTTGTAAACAAAATACATTTTTTTTTTAAAAAAAGGCCACATCAGCAGGATTCTGGTAAGTGGGCCTGACTCACAAATATCCCTCCTCAAATGGACCACTGAACATCTGAGAAGGGAGCATGTTCCTACTTGCATATGTTGTCGGGGGCTTCTTGCTCTGACTCTCCCAGCCCTTATTTTTCATCTTAACTTTGGCCCTGATTTTAGTTTATGATAAATTTCCACACACTGTATATCTTTAGGTGCTCCTTATAGTCTTCCTGGAAGAAGCAGGGCACAAGGAAATTTCTGAGCTGTCCTAGAATCCTCCGTCTCACATATATATCTCACATTATTTCAGGAAAGGAGAACAGAGCTCAGAGTAACTTTTGTTTCCAGGATGACAGATGCAGGGAACTTTCACACCAGAACGAGCCATAGAATTTGAGAGGTTTAGGAACCTTCCTCCAAGTGAGGCTAGTCACCGCATGCTCTCTTATACCTCTCTGCTCTCTAAATACTTCCAGCATTTAAATACACATTATTTGTGTACAAAAATTTAGCAAAAAGATATGAACTTGTTAGAAAAAATGATTGAGAATTCCAAGTTGGCTAAAAAAAAAAAGAAAAGAAATCATTAAATTAACTTTAATCAGCTCTGCCAGGGAGAAACAAGGGAGTGGCAAAATGGAGGCACAGTAGACCTAGCCACTGTAAACTTCAACACTGAAGGCTTTGAGCCGCAAACCAAATCCAGAGGCACTGTAGGTATTTCTTTCACCCAGCCAGCGGCTGTTCATGCAGATGATGACCCAGGTCCCAAGTCCCAGGTCAACTTAAGAGAAACAACCACAAACCTGTGGCAAAGATACAACAGTGGATCAGAAGCAAAGCCAACGTTGCCGACGAGGGGATGGATCTTATCAGGAAATAAGACTAGGAGAGTCCCCAAGAGAGGAAATTGCTACCGTGGAGAAGGAGCCCCATGTGAGGAAGGCAGCCGTGGGTGAAGGAGGGGCAGCTGATTTGGACCTAAGAAACAAGACAGAACTCACAGATAGAAGTGTAGGAGAAAGCAAGCTTGGGATATTGCGGTCTCACTGGGGGATGTACGGAGCGGGAAAATGGGTCTGTGACAAAAACCATGGTCAGGGTCATTTCCTTCCTCCCCAAGAAGAGTGGATGTGATCTGAGACAGCTGCAAGTGACCAGAGGTAAATAACTTCCAGAACACACAGATAAGAGGAATCTCAGGGACCTTGTAGCAGGAATGACATGGAGGGAAGAGCTCACAGAGAAAAGCTATTTCAAGGACATTTGACTCGGTCAAGTATTTTAAACTCTCAGTTAATTTTCCAGTTCATCGAACAGCATCACCATGGCTAGGGCATACAGCACAGGCTGGGGTGCCTAGTTAGAGAATTAAAGCAGACTGGTAATCTTGAGGCGATCATGTCTCTGTGCCTCAGCTTTTCCATCTGGGAAAGCAGATGCTGCAATATTGAGAAGGGTAAAAGTGCAGTCAAGGCACCTGTGGGTAGCAGGAATCCCTGAGCATGAACTGTCCTGCTTGCTCTTCAGATGCCACCAAACCTTGAGGAGTCACCCTCTAGAACAAACAGCTAAGAATGCCATGTTTCCTGGGTAGGTTGGGATGATATAAGATAAAGCATCATAGCTGCATTACCAACCTTTGGAGGCAGAAGGCCAGGGCTCAAGCCCATCCCGACTGTCCAGTCAGCAGCAGTGCATGAGGGTCTGCTGCTGTCATTCTTAGGACTGCTAGGTTGTTTCCCAACCTCCCAGACAACAACATCTACTCTCGTGACTTCCCAAGGTCTTCTAGAAGCAAGACTAAAACGTCAAGTTTAGATATAAACCAGGAATGCCATTCCCTCCTTGACTAATAAAAGCATAAAAATAGCCAAAACCTCATCCCTCCATTGTTGGGGTGAAATTTGAGAAGCATTAGGGGGCATTTTCTATGAAAAAGAAGGATGGCAGGGTACAGAGAGGACAAAGATGTGGTAAACTGTGTTTGGAGAATAAATTTCCCTGAAGCTCCAAAAGGTAAACATTGGCATTTGATGACAGAACTGGCTGTTTACAGACTGGAGGATCCAAGTTCTGCTGGTTAGGATATATAGTGACAAGCAGAGAAATGAAAAGGCTGCAGATGCCAAGTCTCAGCAGAGCCTGACCCAGGGGAGAGAAGCACCCGAGGAAGTGAGGAAAGCTATGGCAGAGCAAAGGGAGCATACACAAGGATGGAAAATGGACCCTTTCAGAAACATGTGGTCTTTAGTCCCATGCCGCATCCTTTGAAAACACTACCTGCTGTTTGCTTGACTGAACGTTCAAAAGGCACCGAAGTCTTTTAAGGTCTGAATAGTCCCTAGGGGAAAGAACAACACAATGTTAACCACAGAAGGATCCAGGAGAGCATGGTCACATTACCATCATGACACCGCCACTTGGAAGCCTGCCTCTGAAGATAAGTGTATGCATGTCAACCATTTCTTTCCAAACTCTAGAAAGGGCTCAGTGTTTGAGTAAACACTGCAACCCAGGAGTCAACTTCCAGGAAGCATTAAACCCACTCAACAGTGCTGCCCCAGTGCATAACCAAAAACACTTGGTTACCTGGTAGTTGTCCCTTGCTGCTTTTTATCAGCTGATTTCTCTGAGGTCTTCACCTTTTTGTCTTGATCAGGCATTGTAAAACATCAATGCCTCAGAATTAACATTGCATTCCTTGCAAAGTAAACGGAGATAGCTTTTAGTTGGGTTATATGATCCAAAGTAGTCTCAGTTAAAACAGGCAAAATTCATCCATGATGTCTATTCAAACATGTAAAAATTAATAACTGCAAGTACTAAAATGAATATTATTGACTCTTTACCTTCCAAAGGTCTTTCTTGGATAGATTTAGGACATGTCTTCCGCCCATATTTTCTGGCACATGCTTGATTTAAGTATTCTGGCCAATTTTTCACAAACATTGTTCTGTACATCAGTATAAGGTATAAATCCTCTTTGGGATTTATAAAATATATCGACTAACAAATATTTGAAGATTAATTGACAGTAATTTTATGCAACCTCACTTGTCTTTCTCTGTAAATATTCTGAATTACACAGTATGGGTTCAAAGGAGCCCTCTCTCATTATGGGCCGGATCCCCAAGTGTCTCAGAGAAAGCCACACTCACTCACAAGTAAGCGATCAGTGTCATGATGTTGCCACACTTCCAGAATTCTTTATGAAGTTTTTTTTTTCCATTTTGTTTTTTGTTTATTTTTTAAAGACAAAGTCTCACTAAGTATCCCTGACTGTGCTGGAACTCCTTATGTAGAGCAAGCTGGCTTAAACTCCACTGCCTCCATCTTCCCATTGCAGGGATGACAGATGTGTTTGACCATGCTCAGCTTCCAGAATTACCAATTTTTTTTCTTTTTAAAGATTTTTTTCCTTAAGGGATTTATTTTTTTATTTATGTGTATTTGTGTACCTTCCTGAATTTGTGTGCACTACATATATGTAAGTGCCTGGGGAGGTGGAGGCCAGAAGACTCCAGATATCCGGAAACTGAAGTTACAAGTAGTGTGAGCCCCCTGATATGAATACTAAGAATTGAACCAGGGTCTTTGCAAGATCAGTAAGTGTTCTGAAGCACTGAGACATCTTTCCAGCTCCCTTCCAGAATTCTTCAAGTGTGAAAGCTGGTATCTGAACAATACATGTTAACAGCAGTCATAATTATGGTCAGGCCAATCTTGCGCAGTCCATAAGCTTACCTGAGTATCTGGCAGGGAGGTGGCCTGCCTGGAAATACAGCTCAATAGGCATTTCAACACTCTGAATTCAGCATTTTAATATTGCCATGTTTACTTATCCTACTGTTATTTTTAATCCTACTTTTCCCCACTTGAAAGATATGAGTTCACCAACACACTTTTGTTGACTTGTTTGCTTTTTTCTTTTAATTGATTTCTATTCTCAACTCTCCTCATTTTCATAACAGAAGCAGAAGGATGAAGATACTCATGGCTTTCTGCTGCTGTTACAAATACCTCGCATAAACAACTTACATGATGAAAGGTTATGGCTCACAGTTACAAAGATCCATGGTCCTTAGCTCTGCTGCTTCCAGGGCAATCATGACACAAAACACCACGGCAGTGAAGCATGTGAGAAGCTCACAACTTGATGGACAGGAGTCAGAGAGAGAGAGAGAGAGAGAGAGAGAGAGAGAGAGAGAGAGAGAGAGAGAGAGAGAAGGGATGAAGAATCAGATCTAGCCTTCACAGTGACTTCACCCTAGCCAGTGACTCTTCTCTTCTAGGCCACACTCCCTAAGCTGGAGACTGACCAACATTCCATCTCTGCCCCCTAAGGCTCATAGCTATCTCTGAATGCAAAAGCCATTTAAACCACCTCCAGAGAACTAACAGTTCTAACAGTGTTGAAAAGTTCATAGCCAAAGTCTCCTCTGAAAGTCAAAGTCAACTCACACCTGTGAACCTCTATACATCACCAAGAAAGAGGCTCAGCTTTAAGATACAGTGGTACAAAATAGACATCCACCTTCCAAAATGGAGGAATAAGAGCCTAGCAAAGAAAGGTTGAAAGCCAGCAGAGCAAACGTTAACTTTTGTAGCTCCATGTCCAGTACCCAGTGTATATGAGTTCCTACCAGCCTACAGGCCTTACCATTTGCATCCCACATACACTCTTTTGGGGCTGACTCCATTCACTGCTTATGTTTGTCAAAGGACATTTCATGTTCCTGGCATCTCCAGCACCCTTGGGTCTCCAGTGCAACTTGGGCTTCCCTGCCTTGGGGGCTGCTTCCTTTAAAGATCTTTGCAGCCTAGGTGACCTTTTAACTCTTGCATTGTGCATGTCTGAAAAAAGAAGCACCTCATAAATGACACCAAGGTCTGCCACCAGCTTTACCAAACAACTAGGTCCCACTGGACTACTGTCACATTGGCCTCTGAGTACCTTGGCAACTGAGTATGGTAAAATTAATCCTGTGGTACCCTGGATATGCCCACAGGTGTTCTCTTCTCTTTAGTTTTCATATGCTAGCCTGGATGTGTGGAGTCTTGTCAACCCTTGAGGTGTCCTCGTAACATCGTCCTTTGGCCCCAGTGCAAAGTAATTGACATTATTTTCATGCTGTATTCTCTTCAGCAATCATGACTTCCTGAACTCCAAATTTCCCCAGGCTTTTCTGTAATTACTAGTTTGTTTTTTGTTTTCAATCTTTCTCATCTGCATATTTGCAGATTAGATTCTCACTGTAGATTTGGCTAACTATATCTGTCAATACTTGTACCATACATAAATGTTGGGGTAACTTTGCTTCCTACACCAGATTGATTAGTCCATAATATTTTTTTTATTTTAGCTTTAATTTTGTATGTGTATGTGTGGAGAAAAGTATGTGCATGTGTGTGAGGGTGCCAGAGGAGGCTGGAGGCATCAGATCTCCCTGGAGCTGGAGTTAGAGGTGGTTATGAGTTACTATACATGGGTGCTGGAAATCAAACTCAGGTCCTCTAGAAGAGCATTAAGTTCTCTTTACAGCTGAGCCCAGTCCATCATTGTTCCACAAGGTCTAAGGATACAAACAATAGTAGATAATAGTATCTCGTCCAGGTCCCAGTAGAACCCATGTTCCTCTTGGAGCCTCATGACTATGGCCTCTACTATCTATATTCCTGGCAGCATTTTGAGATCCCTCCAGAATAATCATTATGCTTAGTTTACATTTTATGGCTTCTCTAGTCCGACTTACACACTTTTCCAAACTCCTCCCACAAACTAATTCCTATGAGCCAAAGTCACATGATGAGGTTTAGCCCTAACACTGACCCTCCTCCATCTCTGGTGTCACTTTTCTGTGCTCATCAGACTTCCCATCGCTGTGAGTAGACACCTGACACAAACAGCTTAAAGAAGGAAAGTGTGGGAGTCTGAATGTGATTGGCCTCCATAAACTCACAGGGAATGGCACTGTTAGGAGGCATGGCTCTGTTGCAGTAGGTGCTGCCTTGTTAGAGGAAGTGTGTCACTGTGGAGGAGGGCTTTGAAGTCTCATATATGCTCAAGTCATACCAGTGACTCAGTTCACTTCCTGTTGCCTGCTGATCAAGATGTAGAACTCTCAGTTCCTTCTCCAGCACTATGTCTGCCTGCATGCCACCATATCCCACCATCATGATAATGGACTAAACAAACCTCTGAAACTATAAGCCACCCCATTAAATGTTTTCCTTTATAAGAGTTGTCATGGTGTCTCTTCACAGCAATAGAAACCCCAGCTAAGGTTTATTTTTGCCCATGGTTTCAGAGGTTTCCATTCATTTTTCTATTCTTCCTGTGCCTCTAATGAGGCAGGACATCACAGGGGTAGGCTGCTCACCTCACAGATAGGAAGTAGAGGCAAGCAAGAAATGAAGACCAATCATAGCCTTCAGATCCATTCCTTTTGTGGCCTGCTTTCTCCAGCGATACCCAACTTCCTAGAGTTTCAAACACTTCCCACAACAATCTGACCAGTTGGGGACCAAGTGTTTGCATGAATGGAAGAGTTCATATCAAAACTATAATGTATCAATAACATAGGGACATATAAAATTGAATGTAATATTGGTTTAATTAAATTGGATATTCCAAAAATTCAATTTCTTTTCTGTGCCACAACTAGACTTCAGTGTGTTGTTCAGGCATGAGCAAAAACCATGTGCTATTGTCTTAGAATTGCATACTTCAAGTCTAGGAAAATCTAGAGGTGTTTAGAAGCAAAGGACTGCCAATTGATGGGTGTTTCAGTGAAACAAGATCTAGAGAACCTAAATGGTTTGAAATGCACAAATACAGTATATTGACTTTAAGAAATATTTTTCCAAGATAGTTACCATATTTGTGACAAACAGTTGAGCTGGGGTCAAGATTTAGAGGCCAAGGCTTTTGTTACTGGTGCATAGCAAGAAAGAAGACACAATGAATACTTTAGAATTTAGGTAGATAGAGTGCTGTAGACTAACGAATTTAACAAACATTTACTAAAAACTTACTATGTCTAAGCTCAGTTTGAAGTTGATGAAGGTAACAGAGCCTCTCACACATATGCAACTCTACCATAAGCAATGAAAACCCACTTAGCTTTAAAACATGTTTGTGAGTTGCTAAAGTAAAGATACATTTAGCATCTATACTACTGTGCTGGTTAGTTTTTGTCTATACGACACAACCTAGAGTCATTTGAAAGAGGCAACCTCAACTGAGAAAATATCTCCATCAGATTGTCTGAGTCTGTGGGGCACTTTCTTAATTAAGATAGATGTGGGCAGGTCCAACTCACTGTGGGAGGCGCCAGCTCTGGGTAGATGGTCCTGGATAAGAAAGCAGGTCAAAGGAATCAAGCCACTAAGCAGCACTCCTCCAAGGTCTCTGCTTCAGTTCCTGCCTCCAGGTTTCTACTTTGAGTTCCTGCCCTGACTTCACTCAGCGATGGACTATAATAGGGATTTGTAAGATGAAATAGACCATTTCCTCCCCAAGTTGCTTTTGGTCATGGTGCTTATCACACCAATAGAAAGCAAACTAATACAATTATCATAAAAGAAAGAAAGGAGGGAGAAAAGGAAGTAGAAATCATGAAGAATGAACTGTAAATTAGTGTAGAAAAGCCGGGCGGTGGTGGCGCACGCCTTTAATCCCAGCACTCGGGAGGCAGAGC